GGCGTTGCGTGTAGTTAGGACACGGTGTTATAGTCATGACTAGAGGTCGACTAATAGTGGATTTTTAGGTTTGACCATGCATACCGATAACCGATTATTCAACCGATATTTTTTTTATGGATACTGGATTAAAAACAAACTCCACACTCCAAGCAAAACAGTGCTGAACTGAAATGTGCTAAATTAAATAAATATATAAAAATGAATATATTAAAATGAGAACTTCTACAGTAGGGCTGGGGTAAACGATTATTAACTAAACGATTAGTTGGGCGATTATTTTATCGATTAGTTGACTAATATAAAGAATATTTTTCTGCTGCTCGATTAATAAAAAAACAATGTCTCAAATGAGCACATTCACTTCTAGTTGTCTTCATCCTCCATGAAGATGCAAAAAATAAATAAAGAAGTGTCGATGCAAAAAATATGACGTTGATGTAATTTTGACGTCTAATTTTGACGTTGAGCGTCGACAGGCCGCTACAGCACTATTCTACAAAACGAACAATACAGAAAATAATTTAAACATTAAAATATTACAGGTCAAATGTGTTTTTTTAGCTATAACCTAGAAATATTTGTAAACTTCATTGGTAACACTTTGCAAGTCCAATTTGTTAACAAGGATGTAATACAGCTTTCATGAACTGGCATTATCCAATATACAATATATGGTTTTACTGCATGCATTATTATTTGAGCAATACAATTGTACCTTGATCGTTCATGTTAGTTTATAGTATATTATGGTAATAACGGATCAAATTAAAATATATTACTAAATGTTGAAGTTAACAAACAGTGAATAATATCTCTACACCACTTATTAACCTTAGTTAATCCTAAAAATGGAATCTTATTGTAAAGTGTTACCATTTCATATAATTCCAAAGAGTTATGCTTAAAGATGGTCATATTTAAATAACTGCAAAGGCCATAGCTTTAAAATTACATAAATATAAATGTAGACCTATATAACATGTATAGACGAATCCGACTCATCTTGTCTTGAAAGATGTCTTGAAATTATGCAATCTAATTCAAATAAAAAACAACTGCTCATGCTACATGTGTGTAGCATCTTTGTTTGAAACGTGATTAAAATACTTGATTCTAATTTCAAAAGGCTAAAATGTTGTTGTTTTTTTGCCAACAAATAAATTAGCTTAAAGAAAGAAAAATTGGCCAATTTGCTTGTAAAAAATCTGAATTGTGATCGGTGCATCACTTAAGTTTCCATTTAAAGCGTGGTGTTTTTAAATGAAATAAATCTTTTATTAATCTTTTAAATTGTAGTTGTGGTGTTCCTTAATTTTTAGTGGGTGCCCCATAACATTTGGGAGTAGGGAGCAACACTGCTAAAAAGCAGTTCAGTTTTCAGTTTTTGGAAGTGATTCCAATCATATTTCACACAATTCAAACCCATTATAGCAAACCGTGTGCAACTGAAGTGTCTCTGAAGCTTAAGAAAATAATGCATTATTTATCGAAAATAAAATTCTTATAGGGCCGATAATGTTAACATTAAAAACGAACGTTTATCGGAGAATACCGATATGGCGGCAGATATATCATGCATCCCTATAACAAAGCAAATCTTAAAAAAAAAAGAAAAAGATTGATAATTGTTCATCTACCGGTACTTAATTAAAAACAGGAGAGGAAAAAAAAACTGCTAAAAATAACTGCTAAAACTTTAACTGCTAAAAATAAACTCAGATATTAACAGCTGCCCTAATCAGAGTAATGCTGAGCACTTTTCAGTAAAACAAAATGAACAGTTTATGACAATAACTGTTATTTTAATTGAAAACAAAATATGGGATAAATAAGCCCAGATATTATAGCCTTACAGTATCAGCTTAAATCATGTCTGATAATAATAATAATAAAAAAAAGATTTTACATTATACCATCTGATAATGTTATGGTCAAACACATTCAACCTTACACATTGAACCCTGCTCATGATGTAGTTCAGTGTTGTAACTTTTCCTTTTACTGTCTGCTAAAATGAAACTTCATTATACATAATTACTCAATATGCTGTGCCAAAGGCTAGAGTATAAGATAGCACAAAGCAAAGTCAAATGGTTGAATGCAGTATGGCATCAACATATGTGCAAGCAGAGCTCAATCTCACCCTCTCAACAAACACTTGATCAGAGTCAGCTGACTGCAGGACAAAAAGAGAGCTGTAAGAAATGGCCTAAAGGTGCCACAGACTACGTATTCTCAGGTCACTTTAGGGCAACTCTTTATTAGATACTTTTAGAAAACATTTACTTGACCAAATCCTTGTAAATGATCTGAACAACACACTAAAAATGTTTCCTTGATAACACACACTGCCCCGATCTCCAAACAGGACTTTATTCCATCAACATAAATTACTCCAAATGTTGAGGATTTTGCAGCATATTAGGCATTAACAGAAGAAAAATAAAATGCATATCGCTAAAGCTGGATCATAGAAAAGACAGTAACCAGCACTATCACTATCCAAGCCTGTAATCCTAAAAGCTAAAATCCACCTACAGTAAATCTGTAATCCCTCTCAGCATCACTCATGGAAAAAACAGCTGTCCAGAGCTGGGATTGCAGTCGAAAATTTTATGTTACTGTTACAGAAGAGTTTGCACTCTGAATTCAACATTTTACACTACTTTTAATACTTATCTTAATGACTTCTACATAGTGTTCATGTAAAAAAACAAAACAAGGTTCAGCTTTTAGAAACCTTCACTGCTTCAAACCATGATGAATTAGGAGATACAAATACAGTCACCTAAATAACTGAACAGATATCATCTGAATAACTGAGCTGAACAAATGGGAGTCAACATGAATAAAAAAAGATACTCAGAAACTCCATTATCTGAACAGAAATCAATTTTACCATCACACCCATCCACTTATCAGCTTCTAAGGCGTCCAATGGGAATCAAACTGATGCTTTTAGTTACCCACAAATGCAAAAAAAAAAAAAATCAATGTTAGTGTATATTCAATGCAAAATCGTCAAGCAAACAATGCAGCTAATGCATAAGACATTCGCAACATGCAAATGCATGTGGGTTACAAAACAATGCGTTAGTAAATACAACATCTATATGAAAATTAACAATGAATAAAATATATGAAACATTCAATGAATATCAACTTCAATGGAAGTACAAAATACCTGGTTTTGGCACATATAAAATCAATATTTGCAGTGGAGCACCTTACATTTATAAAGCATTTAAAATAGCATTCCCTAAACTCAACATGCTATTGTGAGCAAGAGAACACAGAAACCTCTACTAACAAAACACCAACATAAGAGCAGAGCATTTAAAAGCACAAGTTGAAACCAAAAACGCGTCTACGATTACGTCACAGAGAGAGTACTCGAAATACTATTCGATATGCGATTATTTCACAATTAATTTGCTGTAAAATGACGGATATGGAGCGCGTAAAGAGATATTAATAACAAAATTGACCAACATTGCATTGAAATATTTTCCAAGGCTCGTTTGGAAAACAAACTGATGTGTTTATTAAAGCGGAACGTTGCATTTCCTCGACGTTTGAGCGGGTTAAATCACCGGCATGCTGAAATGAGTGCGGAGAGGAAAGCCGGAGAAAGAGAGAGGCTACGGACGCCATCTTGTTCTTGGGCCCCACATTGAAGAATTCATTGATTCCGTTTATTTATTCATGAACGGTGTTCCTTTATCTAAATGCCAGCCGAACAGAAAGGCAAACTCGATCGGTAGGGGGAAAAGGAGGGGGCGAAACATATTTATCCCATAGCCTATATTTCCCCGACCAATCCCTTAATAGTGACCTCAATACTGAGCTGCTCGCCCGTTCTTAAAATATTCCAGCAGCGATAATAAAGGCCATCAAGCTCCATTCATTCCGCCTATCTGAAGAGGTGCAGTGCTTTTTGCTGCATTACTGTGATAAATGTTGGCCGGATCGCGGGAGAAAACACATTTAACATCCCTGTATCATCAGCAAAAGCAGTTTAGGGAGGATCGTAGTGGAGCATCACTGAGATGTCGGGCAAGGGAGTCAGTGCACCTATGCAACGTTACCTGAACAGCAAGGCCTTTTAAAGAGAGCCTTGGAGATAGATAATGGAATCCAATTAGGTTGTTTTAAAGAGTAGTTAAAACACTTAAGTTAATGCAATAAAGACTAACACGTTCACGGCAAGTCGCTTAAATGCACACTGGATTTCAGGTTAAGCCATTTGGACACATTATAAATCCATTGGCACGTAAATACATATAGAAAGACCGCAAAGTAGAATAGCTTATGATACTTAGCCAGCTGGTGCAGATACTACTACATAATCGGGTGAACAAATAAATGACTAATCCTTATTTACCGACTGCAATTCGATCAATATTCACATTCAGTACACGGCAATGTATTAACCAGAAATTCGGCGACCAAAAAAATGCTCGATTCTGTAACAGAGGAAGGCCTAGCTGGGGATATTTTACCAGCAGAAGCTCCAGTAATTAGCCAGTTAGCATATAGACCAACCTCTCAACCAAAACCCTAACCACTCTATGTCAAAACCAACTTTTATTACCTTTAAAACATCCCTAATCACCACACGACGGAATTCCCTCAATCCTCGACGGTTTAATTTCTGAGGTAACGCCGTTTTTAAGTGCTAGCAAGCTGACTCGCGCAAAACGGCCTCAAGTGAAGTCACCCGACTTCATTCACACTGCAATGAAGGAACGAGCGATTAAACCCTCCAAAAAGTCTAAACACTGAAATATAAGCGCACATAACCGATTAAAATAACTGCTTTTGCCCATTTGCCTAGCATTGTTGTGTATGTAAATCTGTCGGCTAGCCGCTACCTGCGCCTCACCCCACCCCCCCTTCATTCTCTATGGTGACCAGCATTTTATCCAACAAATTTATCCGTTTTAAACCAAATAACATGTTCCACACACTTAAAATAAGCATATAGTGTTCCATACCTGTTCTCAGTCGTAAATGGCCTTTGTTTATATGGCATTGACCGAAATAAACGATGGTGTGGCTGTCAAATCCACGCATCAACGAACAAGACGAGCTAGCTCGCTAACTAGCAGTGGGAGAAGTACCGAATCCACTTCCACAGCGACAAAACTCGCTCCAGCGGGCGGGGGATGAGCCTGTTTGAGGGGGATCTCAACTGCGATGAAAAATTGCAGTCATAAATGTCCGATTGGAGACTTCTGTCAAAGAATAAGTCCGTCGGTGGCCACTTCCCGTTGCCTTCCTTGAAGGAGCACTTCTCTCCAGTTGAGTTCACCTCTCATCCGGCCATCAGACGGAGATGGGCGCGGTAACCCTGCAGTCTGCCCTGGGAAACCCCACGCCGCAGCGAGCGAGCGGCGCTCTTGCGCAGGAATGGAATTGACTAACATTTCCAAGACAATTTAGAAACATTTGTACACACACATGTACATTTTGGGGGATAACCGTGTTTTTGATTTTATTTACATTGACTTTTTGTCATTTTACAAATTCAACACGCTAGCAGGACGCTAAATTGGCGCTCTCTTTATTTATCGCCTTCTTTCAAATCGCATATTTTAGTAATCATGTAAATTGAGTATCATTCGTATAGAAGCTTGTTTTCCGCGACATAATTCAAAATAAAAAGCCCAATTGCGACTTTTTATCCCACAATTTTGACTTTTAATCACAGAATTGCTACGGACAAACTCACAATTGGTAAAAACAGAATTGCGAGAAATAACGTCAGAATTGCGAGATATAGCTAATGTCAGATATAAACTGGCAATTGTAAGAAAAAATGTTAGCCTATTTGCAACTATAAAGAACCAATTACAAGAAAAATGTCATAATTGCGAGATGTAAACTTGCAATTGTGAGATAAAAAGTCGCAATTATCTTTTAAAATGTTTTATTCTGTGGCAGAGACAAGCTTATACCTCCCAGTAGGCTACTCTGAATTCTTTTAGCAATCCTGTTTCATATTACAAAATTAATTTTAATGACTTTATAATCAAAACATTTTCTAATCTTGACAAAACACATAGCCTATCATCATGTTACATATTTTATGATAGAAGTGATAATTGGACAGAAATTGATTAATTTGTTACAGGAGAATTCAATTGAATGTGTTTGACACCCGGTGGCTATTTTTTGTTATAGCGCCTAAACAAAAAGGGGGTGCATTTAAGGGGTTAAATGACACTTGAGCAAGAAGACTAGGGCTAGTTCTTACACTTTCTTTCTCCTGGCAATATTTCTCTGTCTGTGCTTATTTTAGGAAGACTTTTTCACTATTGACACAGCTTAAAGACACGACTAGGAAGTTGAAAATTTCCACCATTGTTAAGCAAAAAAAATAAGCTATGTTTTAAAGGAGTAGTTCACTTGAACAAAAACACCCCCATTTCATTCAAGAAGTCCATGTCTTTGTTTCTTCAGTCGAAAAGAAATTACAGTTTTTTATGAAAACATTCCAGGACTTTTCTCCATATAATGCACTTTACTGGTAACCAAACGGTTCAAGGTCCAAAAGACAGTTTCAGTGCATACTGCAAACTGTTCAAAGGGCTTCAAATGATTCCCGAGTCAATTTGTTCATTTCGTTCGCTGAATGAACCAAATGACACAAAAAAAGATTCGTTCATTTTGATGAACGAGTTCAAACAGGAGAGTCATGAATGCGCATCACAGAACAGAGCAAGGAGACCATTTGAGCTTATAAAATGTAAACTTTCGCTAAACGTTTCGCTTGATAAGACCCTTATTCAACGTCTGGAATCATTTAAAGCCCTTTGAACCGTTTGCAGTTTGCACTGAAAGTGTCTTTTGGACCTTGAACTGTTTGGTTACCAGTAAAGTGCATTAGATGGAGAAAAATCCTGGAATGTTTTCATCAAAAACCTTAATTTCTTTTCGACTGAAGAAAGAAAACATGGACATAAAGTGAACCGCTCCTTTAAAGAATTTGGCCTTTTGTGACAACATGCCCCAACAGCCATGCATGATCTTACACTATATGGGCTGTCACAATATACGTCTTTAAAAGTTTCAATTTGTATAACCAACATTTGACATGACAACTAGCCCCTATATCTCCTGATACAACAACAACAACAAAAGAAAATGAAACTAAACTAGGCCTATAATATTGGATGAAATATTTGATGTTTGAAGGCTGCTGAAATGAGGATTTGCAATTAAACAAAGGCCTGGTTTCACAGACAGGGCTAAGTCAGGATTAGGCCTTCATTTAGACATTTAAATCTTTTATATAGAAAAAATACTGTGTACATCTTAGACAAAGCAATCTCACTGACATATTTTAAAATATTGAATGCAAGTTATATGAAAGTTGCTTTCATATAGTTCAAGCATTTTAGTCTGGGACTAGCTTTGTCTGTGAAACCAGAAGAAAGTAAAGATTTTGAGGCGAGGTACATGAGAGACCATTGCACATTTTAGTACTTGTGTTAAACATGGTGTTATTATGGTACCATGTCCATTGGATAATCATGGTTAGTTGATAGTGTGTTGAGTTCATTGTATTTAATAAAATACCATGGTATTATGAGCCAAATACAAAAATAACCATGACATTTTATGTTGAAATGAGATATTTGAGGATTAAAAAGCAATTATTTTGAGAACTATTAATTTTCACCTTTCCTACAATGACAGTGCGGGGAGCTTTTGTAAAATTATCCAGAACATCTTTTTCAAGTTTGCCAGATTTTGAACCCTGAGTTATTAGTGTATCAAAGCGAGACGGTCAATGTGTGATGAATATCTACAACATGAAACAAATGTTCTGCTTCCCTTTTTGCTTTAACATCACAAACCTTATTTTTCATCCCCTCCTCTCAAAACACCTGTTATATAGAGACGACTCAAGGATCAATTCATTCCCATTGGATAAAATCAAGTCCTATCTCACTAAATATTCTGTTTAATCATATGGTTGTAAAATGGTTTCAAATGCCTGAATTTTAATGCACTCATATCATTATTTGCAAAATATTTCATACATTACAGCTGCACATAACATCCTGTTTGGTGAAATATATTGTTTTGATCTTTATCTGAATTAACAAACAGCGCAATAACAGTCGGTTTTAGACTTCATGGATATGAGAAATAAGAGGGAACATTATCTGTAAAGAAAATAATGTCAATTTTAGTGGCCCTAAATACATTTTCTTTATAAAATATATAATTTCCTGTTTCGATCCTGTCATGATGATACTGCATGATTTTCGTATTCATTACCATGATCACACTATCAATATGTATACTGTTTAATAAATTATGTGGTATATTACAATATGACATATAAGATTGACAGTGTCTGAGAAAAACACTGCCACTTGAGAAATGAGGGGTCAGATATAGGACTATTTATTTCTGTGAAGAAAATAAAATGTAGGCTACTCAAAGAATATGTTTTTTAATTAATGCCGTTGACATATTCTGACTGAAAAAAGTTTGATTTCTAAAAACAAGTCATGCTTGTGGGGGTGTAAATACAAACAAAAAGCATGGAAATACATCAAACGTTTTTCAAACATTATTATTATTTTTTACTCAAGTTATGCATATAATATAATTTGCACTGAAAAATCTTATACAAAATCATTGGAAGGGACATTAAATCAAACTTGGGCAAATTAAGTAAAAAAAAAAAATCACATATGGTACACTGAGTGTTGCTTACATTTATTATCTTGTAACTAAGGATTATATTTGCTCTTAGCATGTTAGACAGTTAATTTGAGAGCAGTTTGGCTTGTGTTTCATAAACACAAATAAGAGGATTAGAGCGGATAAGAGCTGACGCACTGTCACCATCCCACCACTAGGAGGCAGCGTTTGACTGGAAGAGATTTTCAATAGCATATGAACGACGCCATCTGCAGATTGTGTAGCCTAGTGAACACATTTTAATAATTGTTACAAAACATTAGACAACGGATGTGCTTTGGTCTTGGTGCCATTTTTAAAATTACATTATTCATAATCCATCCATCTTTTGGATTAATTTTAGACAACAATTCAGTTTAATCAAGGATTAGTTTTCCCACATTCAGCGGCTAGCATAGGCTACTAATGATACTAACACTCACATTGGATAAAATGCGTTTAATATTAATAATAAAATCTTGTTTTGACAGGTAAAGGTATGGCGTTATGGCTCTGCCCCACGAAAGAGTCTAAACACATCGAGATGTTAAAGTCTTTGTTAAGAAGGTAAATAACTTTTTTTTTTTTGTAATTATCATTTAGCCAACACCTTATTAACGTTATACAACTTTTTCACGGATACATGTGTATTACAGTGTCATTAGCCGACTATTTTTAAGTGCATCTCAAGAAGAAATGTTCTTCCATCCATCCACACAATATGGATATAATGTTTAATCTAAAAATAAAATATAATCATTTAAATAATAACTATAATAAAGTTTCTTTCAATAATAAACCTTTCTAAAATGGTTGCTGTGGTATGCTGGGTAGTTACTTATTTTACTTTAGATACTGTAGTTTGAATAAAGAAAATTATGTGAGGACCATTTAGATTTTTGCATTGTATGATTATGACAACACTAATTTATTCAACACACACACACACACACACACACACACACACACACACACACACACACACACACACACACACACACACACACACACACACACACACACACTCATTTAAGATTAAATATGATCTGAACATTTCTCTTTGAGATGCACCCCAAAATAGTAGGCCAATGATATATAAATTATTAAATATATACACATTTTAATTAATTTATCGTGCATATATATATAAGCACGATAAATTAATTAAAATGATAAAAAAGATATATATATATATTCTCTTATATCTAATATATATTATTCTATACACAAAGAGAATAAGCTGAAATCTGATTAGAAGATGTTTTCTTTTGTCACAAGCTGCTAATATGAGAGATACAGACCTATTCATGGAGAAATTAACAACTAAAATTAAAATGAACAAAAATGCTTTTCATTTGTGTTTGAGCCCCGAATCATTACCCATAAATCGTCTGATTTGAGTTCACATTGTGCACAGGTGAGGCAGCAAGGGGTTAACATCTTTGAACTCTCTTCCCTAGACACATTCACAGCATCTGTGTCCAACCATTAAATCCTGTCCTCATTCCTGCTAAGCTAGACGAACAGCCAGCTAAGCCAATCACAGCCTTCAGCTGCCACACAGCCAACCAATAGCAGAGCAGGAACGGAGGAGGGACGTTGCTGGATCACATAGCTTGGGTTTGTAGCATCCTTGTAGCTCTTCTTGTCTCGTCTCTGAATAAAATGATATGAAAGAAAAACAGAAAACAGCTGAAAAAAAAAGAAAAATTAGATGTGATTTTGTACGGTGGGACGAAATGTGGTGAACGCAGGGATCCAGGGGGGAAAACATTTCAGTTTACAGCCTCTCATCTGGTCTGTTCTAGCTGAAGAAGAAGGAGGAGGGGTGAAAGGAGAATTTCCCTCTGCTTTTTTTCCATCGGCTGCCTGGAAAACCTTGGAAGGACATCGTCCGTGGCCACATTTCTCCATGAATAGGTCTGTATCTCTCATATTAGCAGCTTGTGACAATATAAACATCTTCTAATCAGATTTCAGCTTATTAAACCTCATTTTAAAGGCTCTATAGAATTCAGTGAATGCATAAAAACAGATTTATAACTGATAAGGCACAGGAGCAGGCACCTTATTTTGCTGTCTGTTTTGCTGGTATGTCTATCTTTGTCTTGTGGTGGCCTCTGATTGGTCGAGGAGGCAGGCTTAAGAAAGCCCGAAGCGCTCTGATTGGCCGAAGGACTAACATGTTCTTCATTAAGCGTGTAGACTGTTTACACATTGACGAGACAGAGCTTTCACCCTAAATGATTATCTAAGAAGTTAATCGACACCACCCAAATATACACAGATTACTGGGATCTGCTGCAGATATTCTTGTCTTCTGTGTTTGAATGTCCTTTTTTGACAGGGATAAACATCAGAAAGTCAAATACATGTAGTTTACTGTTTAAGAAAATCACATTTACAGGATTGTGCTTGCAATGGAAGTCTGAGCAATGGATTTCGCCAGGAATCTTTTTAAAAACATACTTTTTTTGGCTGTTTTGAAAGTACAGCCTTTACAACACTTGAAATGTTAATGTAAAATTTGCTTGCCGATGCAAAGTTATATTTTATAAGACACCATGACTCCTGTGATGACAACGTAAAGCTGGCATAAATGCGTGCAAGCAAACTAGAAAAAGATATATCATCACATCAGTAGTGAGTGTTTACTCCAGGAATTGATGCATAAGATGATTTAGACTTTACAACTCAAATAACACACATTTTCCCTTGAAGAATTATTTAAAGTGCATTAAAGAAAATGGAAGCTGCAGATTTTTGGCTTTTAAATCCTCCAGTTTGGTTCTCTACACTATTAAGCATTCTGGTTGAAAATATTGTTTGTGGTTGGTGTTTTAAAGTGGTGTAATTAGTTGCTAGGGCGTTCTAGGTAGTTGCTAGGGCATAGGGTGTTCTGACCAGTGTTGTTAACCCTTTTAATGCATTAAAAACTGTATATACCTGTTGTATTCCCTGGTCCATTTAAACCCAGTGTAATTTAAGCCTACAGTCATAATTTAAGATTTTTATATTGTAACTGATCATATTGTCACTGATAACCATGTTTTACATTCAATCCTTTTTTTTTATTAATTATATATATATTAGGGCTGTCAGACGATTAATCACGATTAATCGCATCCAAAATAAAAGTTTGTGTTTACATAATATATGTGTGTACTCTGTATAATTATTTTGTATATATTTAAATACACACACATGCATGTATATTTAAGAAAAAAATGTTATTTATCTATAAAATACTTATATTTATATATAATATAAATTATAAATAAATCTATATACAGAATATACATGAAAATATTTCTTAAATATATACAAGCATGTGTGTGTATTTATATATATAAAATAATTATACACAGTGCACCCACATATTATTATGTAAACAAAACTTTTATTTTGGATGCGACAGCCCAAATATATATATATATATATATATATATATATATATATATATATATATTTCAAAATATATATGAAAATATAAAAATATTGAAAATAATTCTTAATATTTTAGAAGAATAATGTTTTTTACTGTAGTTCTTGCTAAATTTTAAATATATATATATATATATATATATATATACATATACTGTATATGAAGAGTTCAGATTCAAAAGCCTCTAAATGCCATTTGAAATTTTCTTCTTTAATGATGATTTTTATCAAACTTGTAAATTTAAGTTCAGTAATTTCACTTAAATAACAATTAATAGGTAATTATCATTGCCATTTAAGTGAAATCACTGAACTTAAATATACAAGTTTGATAAAAATGATCATTCTAGAAGAAAATTTCAAATGGCACTTAGAGGCTTTTGCATCTGAACTCTTCATATATGTATATGTATATATATATATATATATATATATATATATATGTCAAATTTATATATGTCAAATTCTCAAACACAGATGGCGAAAAAGAGGAAAAACTAAGAATTGCACCTTTAAACTAAAATTGAAACAAAACTGAAAATATAAAAATAAAAGTTATATATAGGCTATATATAAATATCAGAATATGAATAAATACTATAATACTAACTAAAATAACACTGGTTCTGGCTGGTTGCTAGCAAATTGCTAAGTGGTTGCTGTGGCATTCTGGGTTACTTCAATGTAATTATGTCGTTTTTTTTTTTTTCACCCGTTTTATCTAAAAATTGTGAAAAGTCTGATCAGCACTTTTCACAACTGCACATTCTTTTAATTCCTAGTGTTTGGGGTTTGTTTAAATCCCCCAACTATGAGCAATAGATGTTTGCCTTACTTACATGATCATAGACATTCAGCAAGTGTGTAAATTGATGTATCAGACATGGGTTCAGCTGCAGGTGGCCTCAGGCCTGTTGTTAGAAAGAGAGAGAATGAGAGAGAGAAACGGCGAGAGCAAGCAAGAACACATCTGTGCATCTCTTTGTCATCTTTTTTACGAAACGCAACTCTTTCAACGTGAAGCGTGTTTCTGAGTACTTGCTTTCCAATGTAGAGTATCAGACTGTGTCTCTCTGTCTCTTTCTCTGTGCCACTCGTACCCACATCCTGCCACGACACACACTGCTGCAGGGAGGATAGAAGTATAACGGCAACAAAACACACACATACACACGCGCACCTATACGCACACACGCCCATATACACACACGCACATTCACATGCACACACGCTCACACATGCACCCACCCACCCACACACACACACACACACACACTTTCATGAGAATTATGGGTTAAATTCATTAAAAAAAGTCCAATTTAAATTTCACCTCCCTTGTTCTAAACCTGCTTCTGCTGCACAAAAGAAGACTTTTAAGACTTTTGGGTAAATTATACCTTTAAGTTAGTATACCTTTCAGTGGGACAGTTTATTCATGCTAATTCCATTAAAAATTGTCAAGCCAAATTTTCATTATCTCAATTTAATTGTTTTGAATTAATATCATAAAAAATATATTATTTAAATCAGCAAAACAACCATTCTTTTAACAGTGTACCATTATTATGTATAAATAATTTTCCTTTGAAAAAATGTAATTTATTCATTTCCTTTTTACATTACAGTAGAATATGGTTTTGTCATAAAAATAAGCTTATTTTGGGGCAAAATAATTTTTTTACAAGCTTTGTGAAATTATATATAATTCACATTCAGGCACATTTTCAGTACTGTTCAAAAGTTTGTCTGTACTAATTTTGGAATTTCTTTTTTTATAGAAGTATGCTCAACAAGTCTGCATTTTGATGTTTTAAATATTACAATTTATATTGTTAAAATGTAATTTATTCCTGTGATTCATGTGTATTTCAGCATCATTACTGCATTACTTCTCAGAAATCACTCTAATATGATGTTTCTGGATGTTTCTCAAGAAACATTTCTGATTATCATCAACGTTGAAAACATTTGTGGAGCTTCACATCGCTCAGGAAACAGAACGTTTAAAAGAACAGCATTTATTTGAAATAGAAATCTTGGAACATTTTAATTTCTTTTTACAGAAATTTTTCATTTCTTGTAACATTTTAATCTTTACTGACACTTTTAAACAATTTAACGTGTTTTTGCTGAACAAAAGTAAAAAAAAAAAAAAATCTTTTGGACCCCAAACAGAAGTGTATTTTGAGAACGGTAGTGTATTTTGAGAGTACATACTTTTTCTCTGTACATGTAAATATTTTAATTCTAGCAAAATAGTTGATCAATGTCACCAAAAGCTGTTCATCTTTGTCTCGAAGGTCTTGTATATTTGTGTTCATCAAGCTAAATATTTTTCAAAATGGTCATATCTACGCTCTAAAAATTGCTGGGTTGGTTTAACCCAACTTTGGGTCAAATATGGACAAACTCAGACATTGGGTTACATTTTTTAATTATATTTTTTAACCCAACGTTTGGGGTTGTCCATATTTGATCCAAAGTTGGGTTAAAACAAACCAGCATTTTTAGAATTTTACTGTTCTGAATTTCTGTCATTCTAAACCTGTGACTTTTATTTTTTTAAACAACGAAAGTTTGCCGTTACTGGATTAAACGTATCATAAAAGCATAGTCCAGATGACTCATGCTCAATATTCCGAGTCCTCTGAAGTCATAAAATAGCTTTGTGTGAAGAACAGACTGAAATTTAACTTCACCAAGATATCATATCCTTGAATATTCACTGGATTTGTGAGGTGAGCCAACAATAACCGACTTTTATTTTTTGACATGGCCCTTTAACAGCATGAGAAGTTCTTTGTGAATGGAGATAGTCTGCGGTTTAGGAGATTTCTACATTCTCATTCACATCCACGAGATCTCAACTGCAGATTCTCCTATTCTCTATTTTAAGCGGCGAGTCTCGTTCCTGCCTCCAGCCCCCACATCCACATACACACACACACGGATCCTAACGGTTGTAGTGTGGAAGGAAGTTTGCGGTTTGCCAACAGTATCTTAAAAGTTGACACATCCATATGTTGTCCACAGGGTTTTTACTTGAACACACATTCAGTCAAGAGCATGCATTCACACACAGATTTTCTTACTGAGCCACTATACTATCCAAAACCTGAATGTATAAAATGCCCCTTTTCCCGCCGTTTTGAGTACTGGTGCTTTTAAGAGAAATGAAAAGTTTGTTCAATCTCAGGTATTCATAAAGAAAAAACTGAGTTTAGCACTTCTCATTTGACCAAATCACATTCTTTTCAGAGAATTTGACAGAAATGAATCATTTTATTTAACACGGATGATCAACGGTGACAGTAAAGACATTTAAAATGTTACAAAAAGATTTCTATTTCAAATATATATTGTTCTTTTTGAACTTTCTATTAATGAAATAATCCTGAAAAAATGTTTCACGGTTTCCACAAAAATATTATCAGCACAACTGTTTTCAACTAATACACTCAGAAAAAAAGGTACAAAAGCTGTCACTGGGGTTGTACCTTTTAAAAAGGTACACTTTCTTACCTTAGTGGTACATATTAGCACCAAAATGTACATATTAACACCTAAAATGGACAAAAGTTTACCTTTTGAAAAGGTACAACCCCAGTGACAGCTTTTGTACCTTTTTTTCTGAGAGTGTAATAATCTCTAATAATAATTTCAGATCATCATATTTGAGTGATTTCTGAAGGATCATGTGACTCTGAAGACGATGCTGAAAATTCAGCTTTGATCACAGGAATACATTACATTTTTCAATATATTCAAACAGAAGACAGTGAATATTAAATTGCAATATTATTTCACAACATTGTGGTTTTTACTGTATTTCTAACACAAAATGCAGAATTGAAGAGACTTCTTTAAAAAAAGTCACTTTTTTTTTTTACCACAAACTTTTCAATTAGTTCTGATATATATATATATATATATATATATATAATAGTATTTTTGTCCAGTATTTGTCTTTTTATGCTTAATGAATGAATGGCATATGATAGTGGAATCCATTGTTTGCTTGCTTTATGTAAGTAATGCTATTTATGCCAAATAAGATGAGAGACCACTTACTAAAGTATAAAAAGCAGCTGTTTTCATGTATACATTTATACTGTTAAAAATAAGTGTGTAAAATATTATCTGGAGAACATTTATGTTTCTATTAGGTTATTACACACCAGTAGAATATTACCCAAAAAGAAACAAATCTATGGCTATCAGTTGAATTAAACAATGTGATTAACCCTATTATTTTCAACCTGTCTTTTGAAACAAGAATGTCAAAATTAAAGAACAAAAATATGAAATACAATAATAAAATACATATTAATTTTCTTTCTGTTTTTTCCATGGATCCTATGTAGGCAGTTTGTTAACTCTCACCATGTTTCAGAAGAAAAGCCAAATTCGATCCAGCATTAAATGATGTTCCTCCACAGGAGTACAGGAACACCGTGAGCGCCTCATGGCTGCCGCCCATTGGAGGATTGAATCCCAGTAGGGTCGCCCTCAAAACACACTCGGCTCGCCTCCACGCCGGCGTCCTGCAACGACCATGTCTCTGACCACCACCAAACCCCAGCTGTTGACGTCCACCCAAACCCTGACCCCATTCCCAGCCCCCACCCTCCCCCTCACCACCTTCATTCCAGTTCCCTCAAGCTCCGGAGAGCCCAGAACTGAGCCGGAGAACATCACGTCCAGGATGGCGTGGTCCGCCAACGGGACGGGCCTGAACTCCACGCAGCTGCCCGTGGCGTCGGTGGAAGGCGCTGGGATGGGAATGGTGCTCGTGCCCTTCGGCATCATCACAGTCATCGGGCTGGCTGTTGTTGTGGTGAGGAAAATAAATCAACCATGTTAGGCAGGGTCATGTGACACAGCTTTACATCATTGCATTTTAAAATACAGTCAAGCAGAAAAGTTTATTTGATCGAATAAATGCAGCCATCGTGAGCATAAGAGACGTCTTTCATAAACATAAAAAAATCTTACCAACCCCAAACTTTTGAACAGTATTGTATATGCTTGTGTACTTCTAGAAGTTTGACAAAATTAAGCAGATAGACACATTTAAAATGTAACACTCTCTTTGGTGTTGAAATGATTTGGTCTTTCATGATATCATTCTGTTTGTTTTAATTGATTGGATTTATGTAACACTTGTATCTTACATTTATGCACAACATTTTTATTTTCCTTACCAGCTTCTGTACATCCGGAAAAAGAAGAGGTAAGAACATTTGCAGTCCCGTCTCGCTCCTCTCTTGAAAAGGGAAGGTTCTGCAGTGAATATTTAATACGCGGCTGTGGAAAATGCCGGCGGCCTCTGATGTTTCCCGGATAGAAGCTGTGTTGTGTTTTTCTCTAGGCTGGAGAAACTGAGACACCAGCTGATGCCCATGTATAACTTTGATCCTGCTGAAGAACAGGATGATCTAGAGCAGGAACTCTTGGACCACGGACGAGACGGAAGCCCAGCAGGACCAAACTCCAAAGTAAGAGTTCAACTGGCAAAAACATACCATCATATAATATAATAATTGTTAGGGCATACATAATAAAATTAGATAGATAGATAGATAGACAGATAGATAGATAGAATGATGGATGGATGGTAGACAGATAGATAGACAGACAGACAGATAGATAGATAGATAGATAGATAGATAGATAGATAGATAGATAGATAGATAGATAGATAGATAGATAGATAGATAGATAGATAGATTGATAGAATGATGGATGGATGATAGACAGACAGAGAGAAACATATATAAAAAGATAGATAGATAGATAGATAGATAGATAGATAGATTGATAGAATGATGGATGGATGATAGACAGACAGAGAGAAACATATATAAAAAGATAGATAGATAGATAGATAGATAGATAGATAGATAGATAGATAGATAGATAGATAGAATGATGGATGGATAATAGACAGATAGACAGACAGACAGACACAGATAGATAGATAGATAGATAGATAGATAGATAGATAGATAGATAGATAGATAGATAGATAGATAGATTGATTGAATGATGGATGGATGATAGACAGACAGAGAGAAACATATATAGATAGATAGATAGATAGATAGATAGATAGATAGATAGATAGATAGATAGATAGAATGATGGATGGATGGTAGACAGATAGATAGACAGACAGACAGAGAGACAGACAGATAGATAGATAGATAGATAGATAGATAGATAGATAGATAGATAGATAGATAGATAGATAGATAGATAGATAGATAGATAGAATGATGGATGGATGATAGACAGACAGAGAGAAGGATAGATAGATAGATAGATAGATAGATAGATAGATAGATAGATAGATAGATAGATAGATAGATAGATAGATAGATAGATAGATAGATAGATAGATAGATAGATAGATAGATAGATATTTAGATAGATAGATAGATAGGCAGACAGACAGACAGACAGATAGATAGATAGATAGAATGATGGATGGATGGATGGTAGACAGATAGATAGACAGACAGACAGAGAGACAGACAGATAGATAGATAGATAGATAGATAGATAGATAGATAGATAGATAGATAGATAGATAGATAGATAGATAGATAGATAGACAGATATTTAGATAGATAGATAGATAGGCAGACAGACAGACAGACAGATAGATAGATAGAATGATGGATGGATGATAGACAGACAGAGAGAAGGATAGATAGATAGGCAGACAGACAGATAGACAGACAGATAGATATTTAGATAGATTGACAGATATTTAGATAGATAGATAGGCAGACAGACAGACATATAGATAGATAGATAGGCAGACAGACAGACATATAGATAGATAGATAGATAGACAGACAGACAACATGGTGTCTCTTTATCTTTGATATGTTCATATCTTTAATATGTTTATCTTCCATATGTTCTTAAATGATTTATCTTAATTTCAGTTTCTACATTCTCATTTCTCTTAAGTTCTGACACAAGGCCATATGGTTTGTTATTTGTGGTAAAGTATCCATCACTCTAAATATGTTGTTTTTTGTACCATTCGTTCACTAATAATGGTCATCAAACAGCAGCTGTGACTGAATCCACCTTTACACACTCCTCCATTTGTGTTCTGGCTCATTACTCTCATTCTCACACTGTCAATACAATTCAGTACATTTTGCGAATTGATATTTGTGCAATATTACACTGTAGAACTAGATTTAAATGGGAATTAATTCTATTCTATAATGTTCTTCCGTCGATGTCGTATGATATTTACTTACTTTCACTCTCTGTTTCCCGCCACAGACACTGACCACAAGTCAGGGAACAACCCAAAAACCCAGTCGACTTGTTTTCACTGACGTGGCCGATGCCATTAATGCATGACGACACTCGCAGGCCGCACGGGAACAAAGGGACAGCAAATCTGGACAACTGGACACACTGAGATTCAGGAATATTTGCATTGACACTTGGTACAGTATAGTACACTGTAAGAAACATTTGGTTAACTGCTGCCTTTTTAATGAATAATTGCCAAGCCAAAGTTACAATCTGCAGCACTGAGATCATTACATCGTTGACCACTTTGATTTTAATTGATTTTAAACCCACAAAACTCTCACATGCAAATGACAGAAGTTAGTGTAACAAATACACAATGAAATGAATATTTTTTACGGTGTGCACTGACGAATAAGACATTATACATTTTAAGGACACGCAATTAAAAAACTGCAAGAAAGACATCCTCTGCATCTGTACAACTGTTATGAACACTCATGCAACAGGGACTTTATTATTATAAATAACCTCTAGTGTAATAAGAATCATTTTGAGCCTCATTCATGAAACCAATGTCTCTGTGAATTTTTTGTTGAACCATTTTGTCATAAATTGCTGCATAATGAGACAACATTATTTTAGAAACACTGGATGAGGCTCACTTGAATCTGAATGACTGATAAAATAATCAGTTTTGCAGATTATTTATTTTTAAGAAGGGAATCCAAATGCAACGTTTGTCTGTGAGAAATCTATAAGTTTGGTGAATGAGAGAACCACATGATTTATTATTTATTCCCAGCTGAAAGCATTCTGAAATACATGAATATTCCCATGAAGATAATCTCAGCTTTAAAGGGATAGTTCACTTTGAAATTAATTGTTCGTATGTTTTATCTCACCTCATGGCCATCCAAGATGTAGGTGTCTTTGTTTCCACAGTAGTTTCAATTTTGATATTTTTAGGTCAAACCGTTCTTGTCTGTCAGTCATATAATGGAGGTCTATGGTCACCACCTCAAAGAGCATGCACAGAGAAGTCCAAATTAAACATGATTTAATGACTCGTGAGTGTAAGTACACATTGATGGCCTAAGACATGAAACGAGCGGTTTGTGTGAAAAAAACTAACAATATTTATATAGTTTTTACCTCTTGTAATCACAGCCACGTCCAAGTGATCTGAGGGCGTGGGTGCTTTGTGGCTGTGGTTACAAGAGGTAAAAACGATATAAATACAATTCGTTTTCTTACTCAAACAGCTCGTTTCGTGTCTTAGGCCATCAATGTGTACTTACATTTACGAGTCATTAAATCATGTTTAATCTGGACTTCTCTGTGCATGCTCTTTGAGGTGGTGACCATAGACCTCCATTATATGACTGACAGACAAGAACGGTTTGACCTAAAAATATCAAAATTGAAAATACTGTGGAAACAAAGACACCTACATCTTGGATGCCCTTGAGGTGAGATAAAACATATAAAAAATTAATTTCAAAGTGAACTATCCCTTTAAAGTTACACTTGTTTAATTTAAATTGTGATGAAGTGTCAGACATAGCATCAGTGAGAGAGTATTATAAAGATCTTCCATGTGATATGAGCGTACTGTTTCAGTTCATTGAAACACAAATGTTCTGTCACAGAATCTGAGTCTGCATTGACTGATGATTACACAAGATTTACCTTTATGTGTGTGTGTGTGTGAGTGTGTGTGTACGGTTGTGTAGATGTAATAATCCTCTGTGCACCACGAACCAGCGGTAGATCATTTTAAAGAAGTTTTTAACTTTTATGACAACGAAGGACATAATAAAAGGATATTTACACTATGACACGTGCATGTGTGTTCAATGCAATAAAGACAATAACTGATGGATCATAAGTAACTTTATTCACTTTATTCATACGGCTGCACAAACAGCATTACTGGCCTTTGAGGAATATAGAAAAGAGGTAAGGAAGTTTCCTGAGGCTGTGTTTATGAGGCACGTTGTCAAATGTTTAATACGCAAATGACTAAACTTTACTATATGCCATGAATGCCTTTGAGCAATGCTTGGTTGATTTCAAATAAAAAAAATCCTGTTATTTCTTGAAATCAATTTACCTGTTTTAAAGGAGTAGTTCACTTTTAAAAAAAACTTTTGCTGATAATTTACTCACCCCCATGTCATCCAAGATGTCCATGTCAATTTCTTTTCTGTCAGTTGAAAAGAAATTAAGGTTTTTGATGAAAACATTTCAGGATTTTTCTCCATATAATGGACTTCAATGGGAACCAAACGGTTCAAGGTCCAAATGAGACTTTCAGTGCAAACTGTTCAAAGGGCTTTAAAGATACCAGACGATGAATAAGGGTCTTATCAAGCGAAACGATCACTCATTTAAAAAAAAAAAAAAAAAAAAAAAAAACTTTAAGTTTTATAGGCTCAAATGGTCGCCTTGTTCTGTTCTGTGATGCGTGGTCGTGACTCTTTGAACTTGTTTATCAAAATGAATGAATCTTTTTTCGTATCATTTGGTTCATTCAACGAACGAAATGAACGAATTGACTCGGGAAAAGATTCGTTCATTTTGATGAACGAGTTCGAAGAGTCACGAACGCGCATCACAGAACAGAACAAGGCGACCATTTAAGCTTATAAAACTTAAACTTTGTTTTGTTTTTTTAAATGAGTGATCATTTCGCTTGATAAGACCCTTATTCACCGTCTGGAATCGTTTAAAGCCCTTTGAACAGTTTAAAGTTTGCACTGAAACTCTCATTTGGACCTTGAACCGTTTGGTTCCCATTGAAGTCCATTATATGGAGAAAAATCGAGGAATGTTTTGATCAAAAACCTTAATTTCTTTTCGACTGAAGAAAGAATGACATGGACGACATCTTGGATGACATGGGGGTGAGTAAATTATCAGCAAAAGTTTTTTTTAAAAGTGAGCTACTCCTTTAAGAGCATTTTACAGTAACTGTATTGTCAATGGGAGATGCTTTAAACATCAGTCATGTTGTAAACATCACCCTTATATCAGCGCAATAACACAGTTCAGAGCAGTACAAAAAAAAAGAAGCTAATTATTATAATATAGTGCCAAAATAATATACTGTTCCAAAGTCTGCATTGACAATATATGCATTTCTCAAATGTAACAAATGACCCATTGTGTCGAGTGAGCAAACAAATTCACTGAGGTTTCTGGTGTTGAGGTACTGAATGACACTTATGATTGTTGATGAGCATTTACATCACTGATGAAGTCATCATTTCTGTTTGGTGTAAACAGACACGATAGAATCTATTCATTCCACTGTAAACATTAAACTAAAACAATAAAAGGTAACACTTTACAATAAGGTTCATTAGTTAATGCATGAACTAACAATGAGCAATACATTTGTTAATGTTAGTTAATAAAAATACAGTCCTTCATTGTTTGTTCATGTTAGTGCATTAACTGAAATACAACCTTTGATGTATTAATAAATGCTGAAATTAATATTAACCAAGATTATTAAATGCTATAGATTTATTGTTTATTCTTAGTTCATGTTAACTAATGAACCTTATTTTAAAGTGTTACCCAAAGAAATAATACTTAAAAAAAGTTGATTAAAAATGTTTCAACATTAAAATGATGAGTAATTTCAAGCTTTGGTCATATGTTGTTTCCAGAATCCTGAGAAGTACATGATTAAACAAACTTAATATAACCCATCATCCATACGCCGAGATGATTTTTAAATCCCAAGATCTTGAACATTAAATAAATGTCTTGAACATAACAAGTTCATGTCATTTTAAGTGATAAAAGCCCAGTTCACACCAAGGACAATAACTATAATGATAAAAATAAAGGAAAATAAAATTCTAAATAAAAACAAATAGCAGAGTTAACACCACAACTATAACGATAACGACACTATTTTCCTTCCAGCGATGAACGATAAAATTGACAGCCAATCAGAATCCATCCTGCTTTATCGTCAGAACAATATCGTCTGCTGGTGTGGACTATATGGTGTTATCACTATAGTCATTATTCTTGGTGTGAACGGGCTGTAAGACATACTACGGTGTCTGGCCACCAAAATTGTGCACAAAAATGTGTTTTAAGAAAGCAAACCAGTTCAAATTGAAATTCTTGTTGACTTTAAGAATCCATGATAAATGAAAAGGTGATAAAATGAAAAGGTGTCCACAACAAAGATGTAAGTAAGTCGCTTTGGATAAAAGCGTCTGCTAGATAAAAAAATAAAATAAAAAGATGAGTGATTATTATTGATTCAAGGGTACCTTATGAAATTAGAAATGTAGTAAGGATGTCTGATTTGAGCACTGGCACGTTTTGATTTTTTCCAGTGTACGTGAAGGCAGTTGAGATGGAGAATTACCCCTGACGAAGTATCAAAGTCATCAGTGAGGTAGCTCTAGTCGCTCTCCTGTGATGTTAACGCAGCAGGTGAAATCTGAGTGGGCGGGTCTTCTGTTGGCTCCGCCCCTTCAGCCGTCTAAGTGCAGGGGAAAGAGAACACATGAGGAATGTGTGTGCGTGACCTGAGAATCACGACAGTTGGGACAGGAAACCAAGAAATGTAAGGAGCTCTACTGGATTTCCCTTAAACTCACTGAGTCATTTAGTTCTGTTCTAACCTGTGAATTGTTTGAGTAACGGGGAGTTTCTAAACGGTTTCTGAACACATTTCTGGGTTTCACTTCAAAAAGACCGGCTACTTTTGACAGTCACTGATTGACATGTTTATCAGGTTAAGTGTTTAACGGATAGGATGACATTCATTTTGTTCTTTATGGGCGGCAGGGCTGCAGAAAACGAATCAACATGACGGATAATGAAAATAATCGACTCGACTAGTCGAGTTTCATTATTAATTCGAGTCTTTTTAAATTAAATCTAGTGAAAAACATTTCTATGAACACTTGTCTTCTTGTAATGTGAGCACTGTAACTCTAGACAAGCAATTAAATGTCTCTTTCTTCGTTAAACGACAATATTTTAAATGTATATTATTACATGAATACTTTTATTCAGCAAGGATGCATTAAAGGATTAGTTCACTTTTAAAAAAAAACTTTTGTTGATAATTCACCCCCATGTCATCTAGACGATGAATAAGGGTCTTATCAAGCGAAAACGATCGGTCATTTAATAAATAAATAACAAAGTTTAAGTTTTATAAGCTCAAATGGTCGCCTTGCTCTGTTCTGTGATGCGCGTTCGTGACTCTCCTGTTCGAACTCGTTCATCAAAATGAACGAATCTTTTTCTGAGTCAATTCATTAATTTCGGTGATTGAATGAACCAAACGCCTCGGAAAAAGATTTGTTCATTTTGATGAACGAGTTCAAACAGGAGAGTCAGGAACGCGCATCACAGAACAGAGCAAGGCGAGCATTTGAGCTTATAAAACTTAAACTTTGTTATTTTTTTTAAATGAGCGATCGTTTCGCTTGATAAGACCCTTATTCATCGTCTCAAATCGTTTAAAGCCCTTTGAACAGTTTGCAGTTTGCACTGAAACTGTTTTTTGGACCTTGAACTGTTTGGACCCCATTGAAGTCCATTATATGGAGAAAAATCCTGGAATGTTTTCATCAAAAACCTTAATTTCGTTTTGACTGAAGAAAGAAAGACATGGACATCTTGGATGACATGGGGGTGAGTAAATTATCAGCAAAAGTTTTTTTTTTTAAAGTGAACTACTCCTTTAAATTGATGCATTAAAGTGAAAAACATCATGTCTCAAAAATATTTCTATTTCAAATAAATGCTGTTCTTCTGAACTTTCTATATATATAAATAAGCATATGCAGTTTTTTACCTGCTGTTCTTCCTGATGAATGGTCTTCTGAGGCTAAAAATGAGAGAAAAAGAAGGTTTCTGCCAACTCAACACATTCCATTTAACGGGAAAGAATAAAGTAATCATGTGCACTTAACATTAATATCTAATCAAGTAAATAGTGTAATGTTTAATTTCATATCAAAAGGGGTCATATTATTGAAAAAAGAATTTCCTATGATGATAAACAATGGAGACATCCTCATCTAGTCTATCCAGACCATTTATGAATGCTGAAAGCTTAAAGTATTTTTATCTGTTATATTTGAGTTCATCAACTGTCGCAGAGTAAGGAAAGTGTGTGATTCTCACCCATTTTCGTGGTCTACCTCGAGGTCTTCGTTCTCTCAGTGGCTCAACCTGCATCCAAAAGCAGATGGAGGAAAGAGAGCACATGTTATATGTCTTGAACAAGAATCGGTGAGCTTCAGTGGAAGAGCACTCCAGCGAGTTGTCTTACTTTGGCTGTGACCCGCTGGTCTTTATTTTTACTGCCTCTTGGTCTTCCTCTCGGCCTCTTGGGAGCTGAGGGTTCAACAGGCTCCTGAGGGAATCAATTCACTTGGTTTAGCTCAATTTACTTAATATCCCTCCCTCCATCATTGCATCTCTCTGACCTGTGGTTGTTTGCGAGGTCGTCCTCTGCTGCGTTTGGGAGCTGGTGGCTCTTCTCCTGGGGCCACTGTCTCCATCTGACCTGATTCGGTCTCCTCCACGTCCATCCTGACCCCAGAACACCTCACACATGCATGGACACACACAATCTGAACGAGACTTGAGTGGATATAGAAAGAAATGGAGAGAGATATGGTTAATGGACAATTCGATGGATGTAGAAAAAGCCAACAATTTGTACAGTCAGCTGGAATGTATTGCAAAATAAAGACCGAGGAGAGTTCTTTATTTTACATATGAAGAGTTCAGATGCAAAAGCCTCTAAATGCCATTTGAAATTTTCTTCTTTAATGATGATTTTTATCAAACTTGTAAATTTAGGTTCAGTAATTTCACTTAAATAACAATTAGTAGGTAATTATCATTGCCATTTAAATGAAATCACTGAACTTAAATATACAAGCTTGATAAAAATTATAATTTTAGAAGAAAATTTCAAATGGCACTTAGAGGCTTTTGCATCTGAACTCTTCATATACTACTGCACATTAACCAGCTTATAACATGGCTACTTATTAAATAAATACATTTATAGATATAAAATATTGATTTGAGTTTTAGTTATTTCATTATGTGAAAAGAAAATGAAAAAGACATGAAACTAGCAAATATTTGACCATGTGTTTCATTTTTTTTTCATAGCAAACTATGTAACTAACAAATAGTTAGGCTAAATAAAAATCATAGTGGTTTGATGCGTGAGAGGTTAAATGGCTTTGTCCTCGTTAGTCACGCACTGCCATTAGTTTAATACGGTCACTTTATATTTGAACAAAAATCATCTCCTATAGTCCTCATGCTCTGACATCATCTTCTCATTCCTACAATCACACAGACATTAGTCATAGTTTTAACAGTAACAACTTGGGGCGATTCCACAAAAATAAAGTCTCTCTCTCTCTCTCTCTCTCTCTCTCTCTCTCTCTCTCTCTCTATATATATATATATATATATATATATATATATATATAAACCTAAGAAAACACAAGAGTAATTTCAATGTTCAGTATTTACTAGTCAATATCATCATATTCATCCTACAGCTACACGTTCATATGATCATATGTCATTTATTGGCTGTGAATGTATATACACATGAATTTCATCAATGACAGCTTATTTAACCCCTGCTGGCAGAGAGGGATCTTCTAGGAGCCTGTTCAATGGCATCTATTCACATGAAACATAACTTTCCATGTTCCTCTCATGCATACCGCAACTAACCGCTCTACACTGTAAACTATGTCTCAGTGACTCCTAATGAGAAAACCTAATAAGCTTTACCAAAATAATACCATGTGCTATTGAACTGTTTGATTAGCATGTTCATATACAACGGTATTTAAAAGTCAATGTAAGGAACTTCAAAGAATTCCCATAGTGGTAGATGACAAAAAAAACATGTTGTGGTAATAATAAGGTACTTTTTGTACCACACTAATAAAAAAAAAGTACATAAATGTACCGTAATCGTGCCACATTTTATGTTTATCATGTGTTTTTGAATATAGACCAACACATCAGAAATTAAAAAGTAAAAAATTAGTAAACTATAATTAAATCTGGAATGGACGGGAATGGTACACTAGCTACTCAGTGAGGTCTTTACAATATTTTTCCATATGGTGGGCAATTACGACAGCCCACATTTTTCACATACTCTCAGACCTCCAGAAAAATGTAGCTGGCGGTCGTGAAACGAGCACGCTTCGCGGTGTCCTAAGGATTCAAACACAGCCTTAACAACATTTAAAGAGGGAGACACACAATATTATTACAGACACTACATAACTTCAGCGGGCACAGAAGAGAAGCACGTCAGAGATAAACACAACAACAGAGGAGGTAATGAAACTAAGTAACTAAGTAATCACGTACCATGGGATTAGCATGTTTTTGAGGACAAAACATCATGTACAATGTTGTTGTTTTTTAGATAGTACCATGGCAATGACATTTTTGGGCATATACAATGGTATTCTAGATGCAAATACCCTGGTAGAGCAATATGATATGGTTTTGGTGTACCATGAATGGCATTCAGCAATACTGTACACTTCTTAAAACTTACTATGGCTGTGGCACCATGGTACAGTGATAGTATCAGGCATTCTTTCATTGCATTGAAATGTACCATGGTATTTATGTGGTTCCAGGGTACTCTGAAGAATAACATAGCAACTAAAAAGTTTTTTAAATGTATTTTCAATTCTATTTCTTAATTTACGTCAATTTCTTCATTTTAAAAAGGTGCCAAATGTACAGTACTGTCCTTTTGTAGCATGGCTATATTCAAAATTGCGTGAGATATTCAGATATCATCACCAGATAAAGACACAACTTAAGCATTAACAAAACTGATTTGTTTAAAAACAAAAAAATGTCATAAGTTGACATTTAGTGTAGAGCAATTTACCTTGTTTACGTTGTCCTCAGCACTTTGCGTTCAGCGTTCACCTGAGCAGCGGCGTCGCGTGTGATGAAGACCGCGAGTCTGTACGTCAACATAACATGATTGACATCATTTCTGGCCCCGCCCCTCCCCTCCTCACGTCAATCATTCGCTCAGAGATGAACTGAAGCGCCACGCTTCTTTTAGCTCGTCTTCTTCTAGCCAAGGCTCTCTGCAGTTCTTCTTTTGCCGTTTGTAATTGCATCTTTCATGTCAGGCTAAATCGCTTCCTTTGCTGGATGCTGCTGACGACGTCGCGTCGCGTTTTCTTGCCGCATAGGCAGCTGTTTTGATTGGTTCACTTGGTGGCTTGTTTGTACAGTCTGTGGCATCGCGTCACAAGCATGACGCCCATAAAACCCATTTAAAATGCAGTTACCAAACTACCGACAACAGTGATATGTTACCAGTTTACAAGAATATTAGCCGTTAGCTACAGTGATGACAAGACAAGGAATGAGTAATCAGGTTTTTTTTCTTCTCCTAAATAAGTATTTCAAGAAAACAAAAATTAGTCATTAGCAGAAGAATGAGAAAGCACTAACAAAAGTCCCTAAAAGTACCGTGGTATTTCTATGAAGTAGATAGATTAGATTTGATCGGGTTTTAATCATTAATTACCCCACCACCACCACCACCACCACCCGAAAAAAAAACATGATGATAGGCTACTAGCCTACCATATCATATAATTTGGGTATTTGTTGACAAAAATAATGCAATATAAATATAGACCCCCTGCAGTCAATAATTGATCATCTTTGATAAATCAGAACGACTCAATTACCCCCTGTGATAAGAATTAATCTATGCCTAAAATAGCTCGAGTGTACTCTTTATGCTCATCATGAATATGCTAATTAGCCCCGCCTCCTCTACTCAATCACACCATCTCGGACAAGCTGAATGATGCCATAAAAATGAACAAAAATGCCCCAAAAATGAAGTTATGGGGGAAAACAATGCCTTAATAATGAGTTCCTTGATATTATAATACAGTTAAATAAACTAAGTTAAAGAGTAATTTACATGTTGTAGTTTTGCTTCTTCAGCAAAAAAAGTTCCTAACAAAGCCACATCAAAACCATTGCGTAACTGTATGCCAGTGATTATAAAGTTATATATATATATATATATATATATAATAGATATTTTCTTACATAAATGCTTCAGAGGTATTTATTAACCCCCTGGAGCCATGTGGGATTACTTTTATGATTGATGGATGCACTTTTTGGAGCTTCAAAAACTCTCTCTATATATTAAATATAACTCTGATTGTGTTAGGTTGAAAGAAGAAAGTCATTTACACCTGGAATGGCTTGAGGGTGAGTAAATTATGGGATAATTACACTTTTGGGGGTTAACTAACCCTTTAAAAGGATTCTATATATACAGTAACAACTGCAGCAAATTACTGGGATTAATAACTAATTGTGATTCTGTGTGACGACATTAGATGAATGTTGGCGGGTAAAAAACAGAATTTTGAATACTTTATTAATAATTAATTCTACAAAGTTCAATATAGTTCAGAGTGGTGATGTCAGTTTTAATGTAAATTTATGTGCACCTGTATTCATTTTATTCATAAATCTTAATGTCAATTAAACCCCCAAATTCAAATTCAGAACGACACAAAAATGCTTACATAATCTTATAAAAACACATTTTTAAGTATATTACATTCCATCTACTTAATATATATATACTGCTCAAAAAAATAAAGGGAACACTTAAACAACACTTAAAAAGTAAAAACAAGAAAAAAAAATTTAATACGATTATTTCATTCATTCAGATCTATGATGTGTTACTTTAGTGTTCCCTTTATTTTTTGAGCAGTGTATCTATACATATATATATATACAGTATATATATATATATATATATATATATATATATATGAAGATGAGGCAGTGTGAAATGTCTTGTAAAGTCATGCTGCTGTCATGTGTGTGTTGTGTTGTGTTGCGTTATGAGCAGGTCTAGCTAGGTCATCTCCATGACCTTCTTAATCCAATCCACATACACAGACACACGGATGAAGATGTTTGGCTGTCCCGAGTGTCCGCAGCGGCGCATGGGTATGATGACCCCCTCCAGAACCCAACAGTCGCTGTTCTGACAGGCCAGAGGGCCACCGTAGTCTCTCTGAAAGAGTGACAAAGAGGAACGTTACAGGGCACCTGCACATCTTACTCATTTCACAATCCACACTATTGCAAAAGCAGAACTTGAAACTCGTGTAGCAGCACAAACGCATAGAATGGAAATGTTTGAAGCACTGAATGCTTCACTTTTAAACACACATTTTGCAAGATTTTTTGCAAGCTAAGCGGCATCTAGACCAGTGGTAGTTTTACTTTAAGACACAGATTTGACATGTTTATCATACAAAAATGCTTCAAATAAATAAAACTCCTACCAAAAGACAGATGAATTTATGAAATATAAGAATAGACACAGCCTTTGACATCAACAACGAATAATATGGGATGCATTTCTACTAAAAAAAAAGCTTATTTATTTACTAACTATGAATGATTATGTGTGCAGTTCAGTGCAAACTACTTTTTCATGTCAAAACAGACATTTAAGAAGCTCTGGTCTTTACACATGAATCACAACTCTCACATTAAGTCATATTTGTTCTCAAATTAAATAGCAATGCTTTCATTATGTAGTGATTCTTAAAGTCACCGTGAATTTAGAATTGACAAATCTGTTTTTTAAAGGAATATTTATACGCAAACATCTTTTTTTTAAATTCATGTGCATCCTAATCTTAAATTAAATTAATTTCTCCTCTTCTTGCAGCTCATCTCTTCTCTTCTCTGATGATGAGGGCGGGGCAACCTGTCACTCACATGAGATCCACCAATAGCAAACCACGACCATTTCGATCTTTCCAAGAACATTCGTTCTAGTTCCAGATGCTGTTTCACTCTGATATGCGTCGTAATACGGAAGAAAAGACTATCGTGACTTCTGTTTCATGCAGACTTTAAAGGAGTAGTTCACTTTTAAAAAAACGTTTGCTGACAATTTACTCACCCCCATGTCATCCAAGATGTCCATGTCTTTCTTTCTTCAGTCGAAAATAAATTAAGGTTTTTGATGAAAACATTCCAGGATTTTTCTCCATATAATGAATCTTTTTTTAAAATTTGAACCAAATCAGAGTGATTTGGTTCATTCAATGAACGAAATGAACGAATTGACTCGGGAAAAGATTTGTTCATTTTGATGAACGAGTTCGAACAGGAGAGTCACAAACGCCCATCACAGAACAGAGCAAGGCGAGCATTTGAGCTTATAAAACTTAAACTTTATTATTATTTTTTTTTAAATGAGCGATCGTTTCGCTTGATAAGACCCTTATTCATCGTCTGGAATCGTTTAAAGCCCTTTGAACAGTTTGCAGTTCACACCGAAACTGCTTTTTGGACCTTGAACTGTTTGGACCCCATTGAAGTCCATTATATGGAGAAAATCCTGGAATGTTTTCATCGAAAACTTTAATTTTCTTTTCGACTGAAGAAAAAAAGACATGGACATCTTGGATGACACGGGGGTGAGTAAATTATCAGCAAAAGTTTTTTTTTTAAAGTGAACTACTCCTTCAACTTATATGTTGTTAAAAGGCACAACCAACAGGTCAACACATCAGTACCTCACAGGCGCCCACTCCAGCCTGGAAAGGCATGGTGCACATCTCATTCTCACGGACACGACCCTTGAAATATGGGTTACAGTCTTTATTGCTCAGTACGGGCATCTGAGCCACATTCAGAACAGTTTCATCCCCCTTTCCTGAGAGAGAGAGAGAGAGAGAGAGAGAGAGAGAGAGAAGAAGAGAAGATCAATGTGGGAAGGAATAATGCATAACTAACTGGATGGTTGGGTCCAAAAAAACTGTATTTTCAGCATCAGATTTTACATCTAACCATTTTACATCTAAGATTTTTGTGCCCATGCACAAAACGATAGCTTCCTACTTTGGAAAAATGTGAATAAGAATAAACATTTTCAGAGGTATATTATCCTCTCCGCAGGACAAACATTTGCACCGTCAAATATCATTACAATTTTAAATAACTGTTTTCTATCGTAATTAGTGCTCGGCAACGATTAATCGCATCCAAAATAAAAGTCTGTGTTTACATAATATATGTGTGTAGTGTGTATAATTATTTTGCATACATAAATACACACACATGCATGTATATATTTAAGAAATATTTGCATGAATATTCTGTATATATATTTATTCTAAATATTCTATATATGAATAACACAGTTTCTTAAATATATACATGCACGTGTGTCAATTTTTATATACAAAATAATTATACACAGTACACATGTAAACACAAACTTTTAATTTGGATGCGATTAATCGCAATTAATCCAGCCATTTTATTTCTATGATCAAAGCTGAATCCGCATCATTACTCCAGTCTACAGTGTCACATGATCCTTCAGAAATCATTCAAATATGCAGATTTGATGCTCAAGAAACAGTTTCGCAGCTTAATATTTTTGTGGAAACGAATAAAAGACTACAATTGATTTTTTTTTTAATCACCTTTTGTTTCTCCCCAACCAGCAATTTCACAGACGGTCCCCTCTGGCACGATGTAGCGCTCAGGAGGAAGACAGATTTGAGACACACGATCATTAAACTGGGCAGGCCTGCAGGAGAAGAGCGACATACGTGTCTATTAGATACCATGGTACACGTCCAAAAACTGCATGTGTAAATGTGTTTGTGTGTGATGTACGTTTCTAGCTGAAGCATGACCAGGTGTGATTCAGACGGGCCGCAGACGATCTTGGTGAGAGCAATGGTTTGTCTATCTGGATCTCCTTCCTTTGGATCACGGAACAAGGTGCCCATCATAGCACTATATCCTGTGAGATCCACGTAACTGCACACAATCACAAACAATCACGTGAACATGTGTCAAAACGCCCGTATTGTCCAACTATGAATTTACCATGAGTTACCAGGAAGAAAAGCATTGTTTGGTGCTGATGACCCATTCAGAATTGACCAGAGAACCTCCACAGAAGTGATTGCCTTTCCTGTGAAGATAAGGAGACTTAATCAGCTCAGAATAGGCAACATAGCACTGTAAACCCTAACGGTCAAAATAATTAATTGGTTTGAGTAGGACAAACTTAAATTCAACGAATTAGTTCAGTCAAATTAATTTTTATGAGTATTTAGCACTTTCTTTTTCTTTCAAGTTCACAGAACTGATATATTTTAAGTAAACTGAACTGTTTCATTGTTTTGAGTTTTATGAAATTATTTATTTTAATTTAGACGAACTTAAGTTTAACTGAAATGGCTAGGATACTATTTCCCAGCATGCTTTGCCGATGGCACTCGAAAGAGAGTGTAAATGCTAAAATTAAGTGCTAAAATTAAATGTTTATTTTGTGTAAGATTAATGAGATTTAGTAGTGATTAATGTTTTGTTATGTTTGTTAATGTTGGCTTTAGGATAGTTACCATTATGGTGACAAGTGGTGCATTCAGCTTGATTTGAGAGCAAATTATCCCTTTATATTGTTACGCTCATACAGCAAGTGCTTGTAAGTGCTTATAAAATAGTGTTTCTAATATGTTAGCATTTACTACGTCAGCAGATTAGCTTTTAAAGCTAGGTTTATTCTATTAAAAGTGATTTAAGTTCTGCCAACTTATTCGGGTTTACAGTGACTTCATAGATTAGTACTATTAACTTTATTTACCCAAGTTATCTAAACAATAAGATATTGAGTTACTTGGAAACAAATCAAATATTTTTTTATGCTTAAATTGTTTGAGTTAATAAACTTAAATGATTTAAGGCAATCGGTTGCCTCAAACGGTTTGAGTTGAACAAACTCATCAGGTTACACTGTTCATAAATCTATTTTACTTTCATAAAGTGACATTTTGGGCCCGTTTATTTGGGCAAAAAATAGTAAGAAGACTAACCGGTCTCTAAGGCTGACGGTCCAGGGAGAGTTTCCAGGTGTGCCGCCCACTATTCTTAACTTGGACTTGACACGACGGTCGTCACGCTTTCCACACTCGTTAAACACAACCTCCGCTGTTTACACACATGGATCATTATATTAGAAGCACAATTGCACACATCAGAGTCTGTACCACTCTCTCTGTATGTTTTTGACTTACTTGTTGGCCCGATGATTGGCACTTTCTCCCCAGCTATTACAATGTAAAGGAGCACACAGAAAATAAAAGATAAATCATTAAATTAGTTAATATTACTATTATTAATGCATAATTCTAAATAAGAAATGATTATAAAAAATTATAAAAACGAAATAAAATAAAGACTAATAATTATTAATAATTGTGCTTGCAGAATTTCACAAAAATAGCTCATTTGGTACTAACACATTTCACGATAGTATTTTTAGGGCCAGATTTACTAACAGCTTGAACAAACTCTGTTTTTGGTGTTAGCGATATATCTGTTCGTTTTCTCACACAAACCGCTCGTTTCGTGTCTTAGGCCATCAATGTGTGCTTACATTTATGAGTCATTAAATCATGTTTAATTTGGACTTCTCTGTGCATGGTCTTTGAGGTGGTGACCATAGACCTCCATTATATGACTGACAGACAAGAGCGGTTTGACCTAAAAATATCAAAATTGAAACTTCTGCGGAAACAAAGACACCTACATCTTGGATGCCCTTGAGGTAAGCTAAAACATCCCAAAAATTCAATTCAAAAGTGAACTATCCCTTTAATATTTACACCTGAGCAGATGAAACTCATGTTTATGGTAAGAGGAATGACATTTCAGAAGGAAGGGCTTCATCGAAACATGAACCGAATGCTGCGTTCGAATCAGACTGGGGAGAGAGAGGCTGTAATAATGTAAACTATATGAAAAATAATGCGTTTTTTTAACAATCAAGCATGAAAACATATTTTAGTACACCCCAAAAACAAGACTTTGTAAAATGGTCATTATGGAAATGATCTGACTGAGTCTGTGATCTTTAATTCGCTTGTCGTCAGAAGATCACTTTTTCATGGCTTGTTTGGTATTGCGCTCTCACACTAATCTGCCACGATTAGTAAATCTGGCCTATATCTATAAACACGGTCACTTTACCACACTGCTTGATGGCACAGTAGTCAAATTCAGTTTTGGGGTCAGAGGTGTAGCACCAGGGTCCGTGGTGGTCTCCATCTGGGTTCCTGCAGTAGTTGTCGGTCAGATTGGCCTCTGGGTGTGTTTGGGGGTTTATCCTGCAAATATATGTGGATAAATTATCTTGAATATATGTCATACAGCAATAAACCTGCTTTAGATGAGACAGACAAGAATGGAAAGCTTATTTCTGTGATTAAATTGACATTTTCCTATAATTTTCCATAGGATAAAACACGCTTTATGCATTTGTGTGATCCTATGGTGAACATTTGTTAGACTTACTTGGTTTTGTGAGGTGTATTGACGCTCCATTTCTGGCAGAGAATACCTTTACGTGTCTTGCGGACAACACCCCGATAGTTTTTGCCGATTTCATTATAGCAATCTGGTTTATGGAGGGAAAAAAAATCTGGTTATTTACAATACTGTTCAAAAGTTTGAGCTGACTATGTTTTTTTTTAATGTTTTAAAAGATGTCTCTTCTGCTCACCAATGCTGCATTTACTGTATATGATCAAAAATACAGTAAAAACAGTATATTATATTTCACTATTAAAAAAAACTTAATATATTTTAAAATCTAATTTATTCCTGTGATCAAAGCTGAATTTTCAGCATCATTACTCAAGTCTTCAGTGCCACATGATCCTTCAGAAATTATTCTAATATGATGATTTGCTGCTCAAGAAACATCAATATCAATAAAAAAATAAAAATAAAAACAGTTGTCCTGGTTCATATTTTTGTAAAAAAAAAAAAAAAAAAAAGCATGACACTTTTTTTAGGAAAAAGAAAGTTAAAAAGAACAACATTTATTTGAAATAGAAATATTTTAAACATTATGAGTGTCTTTACTGTCACTTTACTCAATTTAATGTGCCCTTTGCCGAATAAAAGTATTAAAGGGATAGTAAACTTTGAAATTAATTTTTGGTATGTTTACAAGGGCCATCAATGTGTACTTACATTTACGAGTCATTAAATCATGTTTAATTTGAACTTATCTGTGCATGCTCTTTGAGGTCGTGACCATAGACCTCATTATATGACTGACAGACAACGGTTTGACCTAAAAATATCAAAATTGAAACTACTGTGGAAACAAAGACACCTACATCTTGGATGCCCTTGAGGTAAGCTAAAACATATCAAAAATTAATTTCAAAAGTGAACTATCCCTTTAATTACATTGTAAAAAGAAAAGCCCAGCCTGTATGTACAGTCATTATGAAGTGCAAAGTTTTCTCTTCCCACAAAGCACAGGCAAAATGTAATGTAAATAAAACTGCAGTTGATGTATTTAACCACTAGTAGGCGCCATCTGTACCCTCGGCCTCAATGTCATCCGCGCAGCGCTTGATCTGAAGACACAGAGCCGTCCTCATATCAGAGATAGACGTGAAACACCAGGGCGCCTCCGAGCCGTCCGGGTTACGGCAGTAGTTCTCCTCCAGACCCCTAAAGGTGGAAAGAGGAAAGAAAGAGAAAAGTCACAATCAACAATCAGTTCCATAGATTTTCAGGACACATTCAAGTCCACTCACTTGCACTCGTAGGTTTTGGGGAAGAACGGGTGTTCGTGGGGTTTCTGTGCGTCCCAGCGCTGACAAGGGATTCCAGAGGTTGTTTCGTTGACTTTGCCCCTGTAATCCTCTCCACGACCCCGAAAACAGTTAGTGGTGTAGCCGGAGCGAAGACGCCGCTTGGGAGACTCGGCTGCGGGATGAAAGGAGAGTAGTATATTCTAGTTAAAAATGACTTTAGTTAGTATTACTGGACACAGGACACATGCTGTCCTACCAACTCTATATTCTGAAGCTCCCGATGGATCTGTCAATGCATATTCAGAACAATTCATGTGAACCCAATGCAATAAACTGCTATTAATGTTGTGCTCTCGAGTTTCTGATTTTCGATTATTTAGTTGTCTCTTTGAAATTGGAAATGACAGTGATGTCCCCGGGAAGATGAAGATCTGTGTCCTTTAAACAGAATGAATGAATAATAATCCGAGTGATTTGCATGGAGATTGAAATTCATGCACTGCTAACAGAATGCAAACGACTTTTAAAGGTTATTAGTGTTGTGCAAGCATTTTAAAGTTGACTTTGCATCAAAACGGACTTAAAAGAATGTATTTGTTCAAGTTAATCTCTGACATGTCTCTATAAACTTTGACTTTTGAACCAAGGATATTGCAGACATCATGTGTTTATTTCTTCACAAAGCCTATGCTAATCTCACTGTATATCCAGCATGTAAAGTGCTTCTGTTTACACTCTTTATCTTATAAAGAATAATAAAGCAAAGAGGTCAAGGTTTGACAGTTTAACCCCTGCTGTTGGTCAGATGCTCTAACTGTATCATATTCTTCCAAAAACAGTTCAATAAGGATCGGTACAGAACCCTAGGGTTCCCGACTCACTTGTATTAAGAACCCTTCATACCCAAAATATCCTATATTCAATAGGGCTTTTCACACTTGAACTATTTAACATAACATTCTAACAAAGTGCTAACACCGCATCTAATTACAGGTGTGAAAGCTTTCTTAACCCAGGGTTAAAAGCAGGATTTAGAATGACGATAACCCGGGGTTGAGGTGCTTCATTCATAAAATGTTATTCAAATTGAAAATATATTAAAATTAAATTCATTTATTAAAACTAAATACATAAAATGATCCAATGATGTGAATCGCCTAAAGGTTATACTGTATTTATGAAGTGCCTGATGGAACTCAAGTTTCTATATAGAACCTTTTCTTAAGATATTACTACAAATGATTATAAAATGTCCTTACTTTGATGTCAATTGAAAAATAGCTATGCATTCAAACAAGATAAACTTTTATCCAAGCACCACAGATGTTGCTAATATTTTGTTATAGTGTAGTGGTTTTATCAGTGCAGTATTAGTCAGGGTTCCCACATTGGTTAACTTCAAATTGAAGGACCTTTCAAGGACTTTCCGTGTGTTCAAGGACTTAATGTGGGGACACATTTCAAGTGAGAGCAAAGTTACATTGTAGGATGCATTGTTAGTTTTGCGTGAGTGAACGTCATGGCAATGTACAAAACAAAGTATCTCACGCTGGAAACACTTAACGTCAAGCATAAATGCGCGTAACTAACATAAATCAAGCAAGCTAGTAGAAGTGATTGCAAAATAACACATTAATGGGGCAGAGGGCATAAGAGGCGTATTGCATTCACTTGAAGAAAAAAAATCTACTCTGTTTTTCTGAATTATTGAGTTAATTTTTCATGAGAAAAAATGTTTTTGCTCTGTTTTTCTGAATTAACGAGTTAATTTTTCATGAGAAAAAAAAATTTGCTCTGTTTTTCTGAATTAATGAGTTAATTTTTCATGAGAAAAAAAGTTTTTGCTCTGTTTCTCTGAATTAACGAGTTAATTTTTCATGGAATTTTTTTTTTTGCTCTGTTTTTCTGAATTAATGAGTTAATTTTTCATGAGAAAAAAAAACTATTTTGCTCTGTTTTTCTGAATTAATGAGTTAATTTTTCATGGACTTTTTTTTGCTCTGTTTTTCTGAATTAACGAGTCAATTTTTCATGGAATTTTTTTTGCTCTGTTTTTCTGAATTATTGAGTTAATTTTTCATGAGAAAAAATGTTTTTGCTCTGTTTTTCTGAATTAATGAGTTAATTTTTCATGGAATTTTTTTTTGCTCTGTTTTTCTGAATTAACGAATTAATTTTTCATGGAATTTTTTTTTTTGCTCTGTTTTTCTGAATTAACGAGTTAATTCAGAAAAAACAGAGCAAAAACTTTTTTTCTCATGAAAAATTAACTCATTAATTCAGAAAAACAGAGAAAAAAATATTTTCTCATGAAAAATTAACTCATTAATTCAGAAAAACAGAGAAAAACTTTTTTTCTCATGAAAAATTAACTCATTAATTCAGAAAAACAGAGACAACATTTTTTTTCATGAAAAATTAACTCATTAATTCAGAAAAACAGAGCAATTTTTTTTCTCATGAAAAAGTACGCCTCCGTAATAATATGGATTTTTTTCCAGTAAATTTCTTGCAAAAAATAAATTCAAGCAATTTCAAGGACATCTATCTATGTATGTTTATTTTCAAAAAATTTCCAGGGTCTTGAAAAAAAAAATTCAGATTCACAAACTTTCAAGGACCCGTGGGAACCCTGTTAGTTTTTGAGGCTTATAAAATCACACATTTTATTTATTATCAGCAGCAAGGTTATCTTCATGCAAATACCAAAAGTAATGCAATTAAAAAACTAAGCCTATATGAAACATTTAATTGTAAAGTACCATGAAATGCAATATTTCTCCTGGTGGTAAGGATGGGAAATACTCACGGCACTTGCGTATATCACAGCTCTCTCTCTCCACCGTCTCGTCAGTGGTGTAGCACCAGGGCACCGGAGACGCGTCCGGGTTACGGCAATAGTTATCATCCAAACTTTTATCAGGATATCTGGTTACACAAACATCAGGCCCAAAGACATTATGTCAGCCTCCACCCTAAAGTGACTGCAACACCAGTTGATACAATTCAGAGCAAAAATTGCAGTTGCTTCTGCAGATTTGAGCGTGGATACAGACACTATGAAATTCATCTTTCCAGAGGTGGAGTGACCCTTTAAGTGTGACTTTAGGGCTATGCTACATGGTTGTGTTATATTTACTTTTCTGGCTGGTAGATGTGTTGATGAGGATACTGCTGGTCCCATCTCTGACACTCTTTACCGCTCACCGTGTGATCCACCTGACCTCTGTAATCTTCACCATTACATGTGATGCACACCTCTAATGCAGAAACACACAGAAACACCACTTATAACTGTAAGTGAAAAAGCTCTTAAATGACAATGAGCTGTCAATCTGAGTATTGAGCCTCACCGTCTTTGCACTGAGGGATGTCGCAGCTCTCATATCTGCGTTCAGGGTCAGTTGTGTAGCACCAGGGCCCGATGCGGTCGCCATCCGGATTACGACAATAGTTCAGCTCCAGGCCATTAGTAGCAGACGGAGTCCATCTATAATATCATTATAAGAATCAAAGAGTAATACATATAAACTACTGTTTATTCAGCAAGCATGCGTTCAATTGATCAAAAGTGTCCGTATAAGACATTTATAATGTTACAAAAGGATTCTATTTGAAATAAATGTTCTACTCATCAAAGTATCCTAAGGTTTCCACCAAAATATTAAGCAACGAAAGGCTTATTTTTTCAGGAAAAAAATCTGTGATATTTCATGTTGTGTGTAATTAATATAAAAGTTTTTAAAAATTAAGTTAATCCAAATAATAATTTATAATTTATTGCTAATTAAACAAATCTCTTTGGTTGAAAGAGTATTTTTACTTTCAATTGACTATAGAAATGTGATTTGTGTAAATTATTTTTTTTTAAGTGTAGCTAAAGTAAACCGATTACATAACCAGTTGATGTAATTTTTTTACTTTGTACCAACAAATCACTTTTTTTCATTGTGTTTCCAATATTGATAATGATCAGAAATGTATCTTAAGTAGAAAATCATCATATTAGAGTGATTTCTGAAGGATCATGTGACACTGCTGAAAATTACAACTTAAAATATATTCAAATAGAAAACGTTTTTACTGCATTTTTAATGAAATAAATGCAGCCTTAGTGACCATGAGAGACTCTTTCAAGTTTCAAAACATCCTATTTACTTTCTTAATACATCATTTTGCAGATGACACTTTCTTTGATATTTTGTAGTTTTAAGTGTGTCCAAATACCTTTCGAGACCACTGTAAGTATTGCTGTCTTACAAAAAAATGTTTCAAATACAAAATCTTTACATAAAGCTACATTTTCATAACAGATTATACATGATATCTGACTCATACCTGTGGTCATGAGGGAATTTCGACCACCACTGTTGACACGTTCGTCCTTTCATAGTCGTCGACACTTTCCCTCGATAGTCTTCTCCTTTACCCACGATGCATTTCCTTACATAGACTGAGTACAGCAGAACATTAACTTTCTGATACGCGAAATCTACTGAAACACACTTCGAGAAGCAGTTTTTCACCTTTCATCTCGTATAGGTCACAGTTCACGTTTCTCTTGACGTCTGCATTGACTCCGTCGCCCACCCAGGGCAGATGCTTACACACCACCGACGGACGAAACTCATAATTGAAAGCTCTGTAAAGTTCACTCCTTTTTGTCAGAAAGCTGCACTCAAATACATCTTGTAAAAAAAAAAAAATTATAAAAAAATGTATTCCCTTGTGAAAAAAGTGTGCCTAAAATATATTAAATGTGCACTTGTAGTGTATTTCAAATTTTAAAAAAATCTTACAAATAAAATGTATAACATAAAATATATATTAATATATTACATCATGACAGTTTTAAAAAGTGCCGTTTGTAATAATGTCGAATTCAAAGTGCATTTTAAATCAACGTTTAAATAATCATTTGTCATGCTTTAAACTTTGATTATAATTTTAACTGCACTGTGTTATTAAATAGTTAATATATTTTAACAACATAATTCTGAAATTACAAGCATGTAAAGTGTAGTACTCTCCCCCTGAAACAACTAATTACATTTAATATCAATTTAAATGAACACATTTTCATTGAAATTTTAAATGAAAGTGAGGAAACGAGACCTGCATTCTGGACTCTCAGTGCAGCGTTTAGCACAATCCTCCAAAGTGATTCCCGGAAGTTCAGTCAGACGGTTTACGTTCCAGGACTTCAGAACCAGCTCTCTCCCCTCAGTCCGCTGGAAGTCATTGAGAGCGCTGCGGTGTGCTGTTAAACATCAGAACGGCTCAACTAGTCACTCCTATACCAGCCTGATTTAATTCAAGTCACCTTTATTTCTATAGTGCTTTATTCAACACAGATTGTAGCAGTTACAGTAATAACAGGAACATGATTCAATGATGCAAACATACAGCAGCTCTAAAAGAAAATAGTGTCGTTGCTCAGCTGAAGTCAGTTCAGTGTTGATTCAGTTCCATTGTAAAGATAATCAATTATTACATAATTAGTTCATAATTAGTTATAAACAAAAACCAAGTTGAAGCTAAAACTCCCAAAACCAACTTTCTGAGTCGGTTATTAAATGAAAACAATGCTGTCTAAAATATGAATAACACTTAACAATTTGTTAACATTAGATTTCCATTACACGAGAGTAGAAAACTTCATGTTGATTTGTACTCGGCTTTCACAAAGATAAGCACAAACTAAGACGTAGCTTTACAGTAACCTACTCTCTCAGCGCTATGTATTTGGAACCCCTATAAGGTTCTATACACTCTTAAAAAAAGGGTTCCTCTGGGTTCTATATAGAACCCTGGGGTTCCATACTTGGCCAATAGAACCTTTTACCAAAAAATGAAAAAAGAATGGTTCTATATAGAACCATTTTGGAGTTCCAAATATGAAGCGGGGGATGGAACCATTTCTGGTTCTAAATAGAACCATTTCTTCTAAGAGTGATATGTTTCTCCATCCATTTACGCTTCTTTCCATATGGTGGTGTGACTCCTCTTCTGTCCGGCGTTAACGGGTGCAGTGTACTTGCCCACTCAACTCAGCCCAGCTTACTGACCTTTACATCCCTCCTGCTGCTGAGGTCGCTCCTTCCTCGTAGTTCACCATAGACATATACACTAGACCTCACCTGGGGGTTCTAAGCATGCGTCAAAACCGCCGCCATCTTGGAACAGGGGTTTTGTCATAGGAAGTAGCTAGGTAAAGCTGCTATCTCTGCCTTTACTTCGAATTCATTGATGGTGGCGGACTTTTGTGCAGCGTATGAAGTTCACGGATGAAATCTGAACTAGGAAGAATGTTTAAAAAAAAAAAAAAGTACATTTTTTTTTTCTTTCTGGAATCAATGATAAATACATGTCTGATCGTTGGAACAAACCAAAAAAAAAACAAGAAAAATCGCATTCATGATGATTTATGGTGATTTTATTTCCGTTAGACCTGTGTCTACTACATTGACGCTAATGCATTAAAGTGGAGGGGCTCCCCTGTTTCAAGATGGCGGCTCTATTGACGCATTCGTTCTAATGAACTGCCGTATCCAAGGTGAGGTCTAGTGTATATGTCTATGATAGTTCACATGTGACCTAACCACAATCTCTCCACAACCCAACCATATGCGCCGCCAACCCGTTTGAGCCCGAATGTCATCATAAATGTCGGTTCAGTGGCAACGGTTCCATATGGCATACCCATACTTCCTACCGCAAATGACAATATCTGCCCAAACACCAACCCTCATTCACGCAATATAGGCCTACACAGGAACGTAATAGCTGTAATTACTATGCAAACTATAGAAATAAACAGACTCTTCGAGTTTTGTCAGTTGCTGCTCCTCTCTGCTGCATCAGATAAGTTCTTTATGTGTGACACAACTCTTTATTGTAAAGCATTTTTACAGTGAATGCGTTGTCTAAAAACGTTTCCCCCTGCATTATTAGTGATTCCAGCACACTCTTTCTGATCTTTTTGTAGTGTTGTGTTATTATGCATGTCCTCTCAGAGGTGCTTAAACACACATGACCTTTGGATCTGCAAACTACATCTGTTTCACAAAAATCCCAGTGGCATGACACAATCCCGCATGATGCCCAAATAACTACACAGTAAACAGAATCTGACACAGCTGTGACACACATGTCTGTGTTTAAATTCATTACATGAACATGTGACCAGAAAGAGGCGTTCATAAAACACAACTTTGCCACAATTTCATGTCTGTGGAATTGACCAATGTCTTTCATATCATATATGGCACTGAATCATATTCTTTTACCATGGCATTTCCACATTTTTACTTTGTTTGTCAAAGTCACACAACTGAAATATTATCTTTAAAACATCCTATTTAAATAAACATTATTTATATGGATCAATTGCTGTTCCTCACAAAAATATACCATGGTAACTATAGTTTTAGCCAAAATAGCACAGTTGGAGTTATTTTTAAGTATAAAAACAAAATGAATAGGATCTTTAACCATTGTATTATGGTGTTTGGGTAGAACCATGGTAAATACTTGTAAGGAGTTCTAGCAATTTGAGTTACGCACTGTTTATCTAAAAAAACAACACCATATTTAATGTATTAAAACACTTAATGTGAAAAGAAAGCATTGTTTCTGAGAGGATTGATCTTACCATGAGCTGCATCAGGCCAAAGCACCAGCGCTGTGAGAAAGAAGAGTGCATTCATGGTATAAGAGCTGCGTTTGTCCAGCAGCAGAGCTCTTCTGAGGGACTTTGATTCTTCTCCACTGGATCAACTGATGAAGGGGGTGTTTACTCTGACCAAACGGGACATTTCCCAATAAAGACGGCTAGAGTAAACATATGACCGAAACAAACCAATAATAATATTAATAACACATCATCATCATTAATAACCTAATAATAATAAATAAATCACAATTAGTACAGTTCATTAATACTCAAATAATAACTTTTATTTTATTAGTAATTGTTATTTTTGTTCTATTCTAGAGCTGCTGTAAAGCCAAAACAATCTCTGTTACTGTAATTCCCTATATTATGACTGTTAAACTGCTTTGTAACGATCTGTATTGTTAAAAGCGCTATAAATGAAGGTGACTTGATTTGTTCTTATATCATCCTGTTATGGATTTCTTTCAATCTAATTTGTTTGAAAGACACCACTGATTTCTTTTTTTAAAGTACAATCAACTTGGATGATATCAACGTAAATTACATTAAACTGACTTTTTACATTAAAAATTAGTTGAATCGTGTAGGCTATCACTTATTGATCATATATATATATATATATAGGCCTATATATTACAGTAGTCTATGAGTAAATCATTCAGTCATAGAATTTGTCACAACCAAAACTAATCTTATTATGCTCTATTAAAAACTGTATTCCTTACACATTAGGACAAAATCTATCTCAATTTCTATATTTTCCCTAAAGGAAATTGTTTTTAAAATTAAAAGAATTTTAAATGAAATAAATTATGAAGCTAAACATTAGCCTGTTATATGCTTATGCTTAGACAAATACGATATGACAGCGATTCACATTCACTTAAAAGATTCGTTTACAAACGAAAGAGGGCTATTTGACACAATGTATGGTCCCATTAACAGACTGTTAGGCCTACAGGTTGTATATAACCAGGTGATCTGATCTGATCACATAACCATTAACACTTGAAAACCATATGCAAATGAATGCCCTCAAGACGCACTGAGATCGGATTGCTTCATTTGGATCGTCAGGAACCGATTTTCACCACGCATGTCAATGCAAATGACGGCAAGCTAATTAAATGCAAGAGTTGGCAACCCTGAAATAGCGTTTTACTTTCCAATCTCCTTCATTAGCCTACTAATGGAAAACTTGTGAAAAGCTACATATGAGCAATTTGCCAAAATTAAAAACCAAATACATTCCAAAATAATCAAAAGGCCAAAACAATCTAGCCACATTGCAGGCTAATGCATGAAATGTTAAAAAAATAATGTATTTAGTAGGCTAACAAATAACGCTTAAAAGCTGGCTGTAATTCAGTCATTTAGGAATAAATTAATCTTGAATTAATAATTAGCATAAAGCTGGTTAAAATCTGCTGTGCGACTAGTAAATGTATGATGAGAAATCACTGAGGTAAATTTAGTTTTTTTGCTAGCGTTTCTGAAGGTTGTCAGTGTCCACAGAGCCGCTAGAGGTCAGTGTGTCACTCTGGTAAAACTGACAGTCTTCCGGTCCTCGTAGTTTACTTTTGGTACAAAAACTAAGCTATATTCAGGTTCATAGGTGGATCATTGAACTTTAACCAACAAAATTGTTCGAACACGTTATATCGTAACTCATTGTAGCTTCGTTTGTTAATATAAATCTTTGCAAAAGTGTTTTGCGGGTGACCTTTGCTCCTGTTTGTTCCTCCAGAGTTTCTCTCACTCATCATGTGTTCGGTCGAGATGTCAGAAGGCTCGGTTCGGGTGGAGATCTGCGGAGATCAGACGCTGTTCTACCGACAGGCGCTTCCGTCGAGCGGTACCGGTAAACTCTGCGTCCTGTTGCTGCACGGGATCCGGTTCTCATCGGAAAACTGGCTGAAGATCGGGACTCTGGAGACTCTTGCGGCCGCGGGTTACCGAGCTGTGGCGATAGACCTGCCAGGTGAGCCATAGGTACAATACCATGGTGGTACAGTAATGAGGGGACCATCAGATGCTAATACTATGGTATAACATGGTACAGTGATTGTATCATCAGATGGTAATACTATGGGAGGCCACTTTAGGTTATAGGCTACCCCATGGTACTGTGATGTGGTATCATGAGATGGTAATACTATGATACTTTAAAATATACCATGGTCAGTGATTCTATCATCAGATGATAATAATGGTACTTATAATTACCATATTTATTTTCCATAATATTAGCACGGAACATAACTAAAGTCTTATGACTGTGCTCCCGTCAAAAACTATGGTACTTTTTGTAAAATGTAAACATATTCATATATTTTTTTTGTTTATTTGTCATTATGGCTATATAGAAAAATGAATTAATATTATTATCATTATATATTTAACTATAGCATTCAGTTGCCTTTAAAATGGACAGTGATGTAACGAAAAAAAAAGAAAGAATATATTTTATGTATAAAATACTTAATATTTTGGTAACGCTTCCTTTTACAGTCCAGTTACCCATGTAAATACTATGTACTTGTTTTAGTAACTACAATTACTGGGTAATAACTAGTACTACCCCTGTTCCATGTACTTACCTTATACTAGCCAGTACTTTCTAGGTAAGTACTGGACTGTAAAAGGAAGCGTTACCAATATTTTTTTTTTTTTACAAAAGTACTGTTCTGGCAAAAATAACCATACGTGTATCATGGTATATTTATATACTTTTTGTTAATAAAAGGAATTATTTAAATATATTCTTCGCTATTATTATTATTATATTATTAGTATATATGGTTAATCAAATATATATATTACAAATTTTGGTTCGTTAGATGTATTTGGTCCGTGTTGTGTTCATATTTCATTTGAACTGCACCAGGGTTGTTTGGACTTATCTTTTCAGTTGTTCTGGGTCCTCTTGTTTGGTGTACACAACCGAACCGCTCTAACTGAGCAATCGCACCAGGGTTCGTTTTAATCCAACCAAACATGCCGAGTGTGAACACACCTTTAGTCTCTCTCACTAACTTGATCATCGTCTGCTGTCTCTCCTCCTAAAGTGGCTCATTTCTGTGTCATTGCTCGCTCAGGCCTGGGTCAGTCTAAGGCGGCTCCGGCCCCGGCTCCAGTGGGTCAGCTGGCTCCAGGTGTGTTCCTCAGACAGGTGTGTGAGGGTCTGAACACGGGTCCTGTGGTGGTCATCAGCCCGTCTCTCAGTGGCATGTACTCGCTGCCGTTCCTCGTCCAGCACTCGGAGCAGGTCAAGGCCTATATCCCTGTAGCTCCTATCTGTACAGAGAAGATCTCAGCAGAGCAGTACAGCGGCGTACAGGTGACATATCTATCTATCTATCTATCTATCTATCTATCTATCTATCTATCTATCTATCTATCTATCTATCTATCTATCTATCTATCTATCTATCTATCTATCTATCTATCTATCTATCTATCTATCTATCTATCTATCTATCTATCTATCTATCTATCTGTCTGTCTATCTATCTATCTATCCATCTATCTATGGCTAAAAATGTAAAAATGTGTGATTTACAACCTTATGTACCTGCACAGACTCCAGCTCTTATAGTTTATGGAGACCAGGACACTCAGCTTGGGGAAGCGTCGCTAAGCAACCTTAGCCATCTACCCAATCACAAGGTGGTGGTAATGAAGGGGGCGGGGCATCCTTGTTACCTTGATGATCCAGAGACCTGGCATAAGGCAATCCTCGACTTCCTACAGTTGTTGTGATCGTATTAAAAGCCCTAATACAGTAAAAGTTTAAACATTAATTACATAACCAATATGAAGTACATTTAATTATAACTGAATTATCGTGTCAGAAACACTCAGTTTTTTGCTATGCAACTTTGCATAATCACATCTTTTTGTGCTTTTATTTGCAAAGCTATTCATGTGGACGCCTGGCATTTAAATCCCGCTCAACATAGCCTACTTATGACTACTGTAATAGTGCAATTTTTCAACTTTTCTGCTTTTAAAAGACAAATAATTAGAAACTGCAACTAAAACCCAATCATTATGTAGTACAGTATTGTGGTGCCACACGTTAACATTGGGACCAAAGACAATGTTTCTGATGAACCTCTATATAACATGTTGAATGCACCAGAAAAATAAACACAACACAATGCACTGAAGTGAAAAATATGAACATTATTTAATAACTGATTCTCTGTAATAAACAATTTGAAAATATTTTACAAGGAGTCACAGACACAATATTTTACAAATTTTCTGGTCTTTTTTTTGTTGTTGTCTGTACAAAAAAATGGAGCAACGTGGACCCAGAGACGAGGCACTGAGCCCCCAACACACAATCCAATAAACGAACCAAAGAAAAAAACGCTCACCATGATTTCAGACCTCAAGTCATGAGTATTATCAGCAGTATTGTGTTTCTATTTTTTTTAATCGTTAATACATTTTAAAACCTCACTCATGTTAAATTCAGTTTCTCCTTTGTACGTTTTTTTAATATATATTTTTTGTACACATTTGTCACGGAACACCAGACTAAAGACTACGTAATCACATACACACGTCTCGCTGATGGAAACGCGCCTACAATGATGTTGCTTTGAAGGGGGAGGGGCTAGAGGAGGGTCTGAGCTAATGACTCCTCCCAGTGGGTGGGTTATACATCAGGCCCCTCCCCTTGCGCAAGCTGCTTCCTCTTTTAAGCTTTTCTTTTTAAATACTTTTTTTTCTCTTTTTTTTTGGCAAAAGCAAATCTTTCAGACCACTTAAAAACAAGGACTTTTGTTCCACAGTGTACTTGGAATTGTGACACAAGACCGACACATTCATGATCATTTAATCGCAGTGTCTTGCCAAAATGTGTTTCGCTAATTCAGGCAGTTCAGTGCCCCTGTACATCGACAGTGTTCCAGTTTTAAAACAATTACACACTTTCCCCCCTAAAAATAAAATACAATAATAATAATAAATAATATATATAAAAAAAAAACGTCTGGTGAAGTTTTCAACCAACTCACCAGAATAAAGAACAAGGCATTTTTCCCAACTTTCAGAGCGCTCTTTGCCCTGATATGAAGTAAAATCGTAGACCGTTTCCATAATCAGGCAAAGAAAGAGGTACACGTTAGCCGTTTAACAGGTTTCAACATTAAAGTAGTTTTTAAAGGAATATTTCGCCCAGAAATGAACATTATGTCATCATTTTACTCACCATCACGCCATCCAGGAGAGCTAAGGAGTCATTTTCCAATGAATAACAACTTCTCAGTGATTTGAAATATATTACACAAGGCATGAGGACAACTTTTATGATATTTTTATTGTGCATTTCTGTCCTTTTAGGAGCTTAAAACCCCCGGTTGATATCTTTAACTATACTTTTAAATGGCACTTGGAAAACCCTTTAAACGTGAATGGAAAACCTTGAGGGTGAGTAAATGTTTTAATTTTTAGGTGAACTATCCCTTTAATTTTGCTTTATCTTACCGACGCCTCGGTTTTTGCCACTAAGGTATGGGACCAAAGGCTTAAACAGTCTTTTTAAAAATCACATATGACCTTTTATTTCATAATTTGTGTTTTTCCATTTATAGGTATCAATGGGGTCTAATATATATATTGATACTGTAGATGGACTCATAAATCCATCCGGATGTGGATTATAAACAGTCATATGTGATAGTGTGAGGATCAGGATTGCATTCAAGTTCAGATATTAGTGATATGTACAACTCTTAACACAACATTTAGCATATTTACCTAGTTCTGAAGGTGAATGAAAAACAATGTAAAGAATCGTGTCCACGAGCATCAGACATCGCTCACCTCTCAAAAAATGGTGCGTACAAAATACATGGCATCCTGGCAGCTTTTACATGAGATAACGAGAAAATAAGTAATAGTTCACCCAAAATAAATTCTCGTTTACTCACCCTCAAGTCATATATGGATATGTCCTTTCCATACATTTGTTTCCTACAGAAGAATGAGGGGTTTAGAACGACACGACGGTGAATAAAAGATGACAGAATTTTAAATTTCGGGTGATCTTTTCTTTTCAAACAGACACAGATAGAGGGGATTTTGAACATGTTAAGTGCTGTCTTTTTAAATTGCACAGGCAAATAAAACAGGCTTTGCCTCAAGACAGACAGATTTGAAACATTCGTTTGACACGGATCATTCCTTCAACACCAACAATGACAATACTCTCGAAATACTTTTTCTCAATTTTTCAGTTATTTCACGTAACAGCAAACATTGATTCTTTTCCTCAACCATCAGCAAACCTTCATACACAGATAAACACTCACTCCCCTCACACACTGGACAAATAAACTACAGCAGGGAAGTATGTGTGAATACATCCTCTGTTATGATGGATTGAGGTTACGTAGAGCAGTCGGTTCAACTCCAAAACCTACTTTACCAAAACTCAAAAGCAACTTAGCAGTATGATCCAACTTTGGCAAAGCTCTTTCAAAGACAAGCCAAGGGGTCACGTCTTGCCATGGAGCTTTACTCTGCAGGTGGTGGCCACTGAAATGCCAAACGTGCAACTATGAACAAGCGAGGTTCGGATTGAAGTTAAATGCATAAAGTGCTTGTCAAATTTTAGTACATGTAGGCATGGAGCTGAAGGGTATGGCAAACACTGCGGCTCAATAATACTCAAAATGAAAAAGATAAATCGCATTCCCTTATGCCAGTCAGGTTACTTGTTTGGAGGCACTGGCTGTGTTCGGAATAGCATGCTATTATGCTGTATTTACGTATTCCCACAATGCAATGCACTCAAATTGACCTACCATTTCCAGTGTGATGAATGACTGGAAACAAAATCAACTTTGATTATCTCAACTATATCGCTCTTGACTAGGGTTGGGTACCGAAACTCGGTGCTCTGACGTAAACGGTAGTAACCAGACCGAATAAGAATAAGATTAAGATTCTGACCGAATAAGATTCTTGACCTGGTATCGGTATCGAAACAATAATTTTGGTATCGTGACAACACTAGTGCACACACGCAAGTCTCTCGCTCTCTGCCTCTCCGTAGTGCGCGCACTATACAGCGCTCTGGCTCGCTCGCGCTAGATTCCAGGAGATTTTAATTAATTTGCGGGCATGCGGGAGATTCCCGGAACGTCTGCGGATAGCGAGGGCATTAATGAAGATGCCGAAGACAAAACGCTCCAAGGTTTGTCTGCATTTCACGTGTAAAATTACTCTTCAGAACGATTGTCTTCGCGCCGTCTTGACGCTCACGTCATCATGTTATAGCGCGCGCATCATCTGCTCCTCAGATTTCTTTCTTCGGCAGCGAACGCACCAGTAACCGGAGACGTTCTCTTTCATAGGTTTACTCAAAGCTGCGTAGCTAAGACGCAGTGGGAACAAAAGAGAACAAACTCGCCAAGCTAAACGCTGCGTAACTAAAATGACCAGATAACTAACATGACTGGTTCAAGCAGACAAAACAAGGGAACCTGTAGCCATTTCGGTACTAGATTACCCTGGTAGTAATCTCTATTTATCTCCAGTATTATTACATTGTTTGATACAATATTGTTTTATTATTTGATATTATGTATTTTATATTGGTTTTTTTATTATTAATATATGCTACGTATTTATATTGTTTAAAGATATAAGTTTATATTGTGTCCAGTTTGCCCCTGTAAATAAAGGGGTATTAGCCTATTTTTTGACAAAGTGTGTGCGGTTTCATTTTCTTAGGCCCCGTCCACACTACTGCGTTTTCGTTTAAAAACGGAAACCTTTTGCTAAATTTGCACCTCCCGCCCAGACTAAAACGGGAAAAACGAAGACCTAAAACGGAGAAGTTTGGAAACGCTGCAGCTCCGTTTTGCGTTTTGAATCTCCGGAGGGCATTTTAGTGTAGACGGGACAAAATGTAGGACTTCAGAAACGCTGACGCAGGGGCTGACGCTCGGCTCCATGATTGGGTGTTATCAGTCATGACGTATCCTTCCCTGATTCGTCAATCACTGTTTACACCGGCACGCACATGCCCAGTTTTGGTGAATGGTCACGTGATCCGCGTTTTCAGTCGTTTTAATGTGGACGGAGATCATTTCTAATACGCAGATAAAACGCTGGTGTGGACGGAGATCGCATTCGTTTTAATTCTCCGATTTTAAACGAAAACGCAGTAGTGTGGACGGGGCCTTAAGTACCGTTTCAAGAACCGTTTAAAAAATACAGAGTAGGTAGTGGTATCGGATAAAACCCAACCGATACCCAACCCTACTCTTGACTTATGTGATCAGTTCATCATTTGAACACAAACTCGGGTTAAAAACGCAAAATAACATTTTTTTCTTTACCGGCCATGGCTAAACATGCTCAATATTGAGGTCATGTGACCAGAACATAGCATGTTCACCAGTAAACATTGGTGAGTATTTTTTAAGAGTAGCCTGAAGAATACAGTATGCAGTACGCTAGTACTCTATTTCCATCACAACCTGTTTGACTATCGTTTTAAGGCCCGTGAATGACTTTAACTCGTACTGAACTGACTGAGGGTGAAGCTCGATCTCCACCATGGTCACTGCTGTCCACTATAAAGTGCATCAAGGCACAGCTAAAAGAAGGTTGATAGAGGGCCCAAAACAAGGGTTTTTCATCGCATTACTAACATTTCATCATAAACGATAATATCATGACAGATATTAGAAACAAAACTCTATGCAAATACGAAAGAGCAGATTCAAAATGCTGTTTTGGGCCTTATCTATATATATATATATCACATGATCACATTGACTAAGATCATGGTAACGACTAAAATCCATCAGTGCAAAAAATGGTGCAAACAAACAGCATGTGTTGTGATCAAATGCAATGTCGACATTCTGAGATTGTGAAAAACTGTACAGGACAGAATTGTACAGACTGCAAACTGACATCATCGCTAAAATACTGCATTTCAATGCATCAAAAATCTCATCTTCACCTACATGTTTTCCATTCAGTGACCGTGTCTGTCATGCTCCAAAAAAATAGATCAATAAAAGCAGTCCATTTGATTTGTGTTCATATGATAGCTGATCATGACTGCTTTCATGGGACTTTTATTGTACTTTATTTGTCTTTTTGGAGCTGGAAAGTCATGGTCACTATCGTTCCGATTTTTATATTTCTCATTCGGTGTTTCCACAGAAAAAAAACAAGTTTGGAACGACATGAGG